GCTGGCCGTTTTTTGTGACACCCATCTTTCAAGCCACGCTCTGCCATGGGGTGCAGTGAAAAACCCGTGCACCGCGCACGTTGCACCACGGTGGCTCAAGCAACACAATGCCCGGTCGAGCCCAAAGCGCCCGGCGTCATGGTGACTCGGACAAGTCGGTCGGGTGCGTGTTGTGGTGGCACGTGCGCGTGGTGCGCGTTGTGGCGGCGATGAAGCAAACGAAACCGGTTGGAGCGAGGGAATTCGTTTGGACAAAGGGGAGATCGTGTGGAACATGCTGTGTCCTTCACTTTGTGCATTTTTTCGTGGAACATTATGGCCCACAGGTATTGCAGGTATCGGCGTGGATCTTCAATATCCGGTGCTTCATGGTGTGTAAACTTCCTGCAGTTGTATGGTGCTTCATGGGTGACTCCAAGCAATACTGGGCTCATTTTCTCATCATTTCGAGGTTTTGGTTTTGAAGAGGTGGCACCAGTCGGATTGCTTGGCACGGGGCGTCCACGCCGTTTGAGCAGAAGAACGTTCCATCCCACTTAGTAACCGGTTATGGGAGGTAGCGATGTCCAACCCTCACCAGCATCACGAGGAGGCCTTTTGATGTAATTAATTGTTTGGCTCACGACTCCCAAGGGCTGTGAGCTGGGTAGGGTGGCGGGGCCCAGCCAATGAGTGTGATCTTCATCCTCCCTGTTCAAGTGATTCTCATGACACCCAGACCATCCCAGACCTCTTCTGGCAGAATTCCTCCTCCTCTTTCAGTTTGGCACGTGGTTCACAGAATCAAAGAGGAATAGATTCCAGCACACCAAGTAATGTAGACATTGTAGACTCTCAATTCATAAACCTCCAATTGGATCAAAACACCTCTTCCTATGGAGGGGTATTAAAGAAGTGTCTATACATTATGTTGTCGCCTCGAACAGTTCAATTTTGACGACCTGAGGCGATGACGGAAAGCGTGCTGTGACCTTCCTAGACAGGCAGGTAGTACAGGTCGAAACGACATCATTGTCTTTGGAAACCATGCCAAAACGACTCACGCTTCGCGGATTTTCGGCCTTAGTTCGAAGTCTCACAAAGGATTCGGTCTTCAAACGGTAGAAGGAGCTGACAACATGACAGCTAGCAGCTTGAAATTGGAACTCAGATGGGACAAGTGACCATAGCATGCCACGGCAGTGTGCTGCACCTGAATCGAGGGTTGCCGACTTGATGAATTCGGTTGGCTTTTTGCGCAGGTCAGCAGCTGATCATGGCAAAAGTCGCCGGGCTGCAAGAAGACGCAAACAAAAAGCGGCACACACATGACAATATGTTCTTGAACAGGTCAGGGGCCAGGTGTCAGGTCAGGTCAAAAGCATGTGCGGCGCCTGCCGCCTCCATCTCGGTGCAACCCTCAACAGGTGCCATGCAACGCTCGACCAGCGCCAGGGAGATTCGTCGCCATCCAAGAGGCATGGTCCGTTGAACCAGTGGAAGAGCAAGACAGATGAGCCTGTTATAGAAAATAGATACGTCGATATCCAATATATATTCACCAGAAAGATCCAGAAAGTATGTCGAACGCTGTGTTTTTTTGCATGCTTTCTGGGTCTCATCCCACCTCACGACGGTGAAAAAGCCCAGCTCACGCCCCCTATTGGCGTCCCCTATTGGCGGGTGAACAATCCCACCTCAGGCGGAGAGATGCCGCTCCAAACCGCTCCCGAGCGGAGCAGGACTGCACCGAAGCTGCCACTCCTTGGTCGTTTTTCCGAACTGAGCAGGGAGAAGACGATCCGGAAAATGAGATGAATAGGATTCATGAGTTGTTTTATTCTGATACTTATAAATCTTTGTGCAAAGGAGATCAACCTGAGATTCCTGAGTAGGAGTACTGCCCCCTCACGAGCACGAGACGTCTCCTTTGGTCCTCAGGATGGTATTGGCACTCAGGTTCTTTTTTGAGCAAAGCACAGAGGCAAAATTGTTTATTACTAGTAGTAATGGCCTCCACCCTAGCAGCGATGGCCTCCAACCTTAGTAGCTTCTTGTTACTAAGGCCCGGCTGTGCAGTATGAGATTCTCAATTCTTCACCATACCAAGGCAAGTCGCGCTGGGATGAGACCCCGAAGCATCGTCCCTTCGATGCACGATCCGATCCGCCAATCCATCCGAAGCCAATCACAGCAACTCGAACGTTTGGTACACCCAGGAAGAGACCCACATGGAATGCATGGAACCTGAAACATTGATTTTTGGAAGACGATTTTCCTCTGCAACCCAGCAGTGTTCAGGTTCCATGTTGATCTTCCAGGGTATAATTACCCATCCGGGTCTTTTCTTTCTACAAAAACATGGCTTCTGCTTCGCTGAGGCGACCGTTCTGCAACCCCGTCAACGAGGCACGTGACGGCACCAGTTGTTGAAACAATGAGTCCGACCCATGTTTTCCAACGTTCAGGTCAGCAAAGGAAAGAAGCTGAATGGGTTGGTTCTACCCAACGTTGGATGTGTTTTTTGGGGGGGGGCGGACTCTTCTCTTTTCAGCCCACAAAGGTGACAGAGATAGTTGGTGCGTTGGAGGGAGTTTCAGGCTCCTTCCGTTCAGGCTCCCCCTTTTGTCGACAGACTCTTCGATTCCATGGACCGGACATCACAGAAGACTGACAGATGGACATCAGGATCGATCACATCAGGATCGATCAGTAGATAGTACATCACTGATCAGTAGATCTACCCCCCCTACACGTCGGCACCTAGCCGCGATCGACGTGTCGTTCGCGCGAGCCGAGCGATCGATCGGTCAGGGATCGGACGCCCTCGGCTCCATCTCCGGTGACTCGGCTGGCTCATGGGGCAAGGACAGAGAAGGTGCAAACTCGGCTTCGGCGAAGCAAGCGACGTAACTGGGAAGGGGTCAATGTTAGACTGGGAAGATCCCTGTTTGGTGGTCTTTATCGAAAAAGAACGGCGCCTGTGACATGCCATGCATGTTGGTTGGGAAGATCAATAATTGAGGTTTAGTGGAGATGTTTAACTAGGTGAGCCCAAGCAGTAGAGTCACCAGAAGCTTGATGAAGGTAGTGATGATCGTGCAAGAGATGTCCTTTTGAAGCGGACATCGAAATGCAACCACTGCAACTCATATATATATATAATATATATATACAACATGTATAGAAACACTAATTTTTGCTGGTTGTCACTGCACTCCCTTGACAGGGTCTTGCCCAGGTCAAGATGCCAGCGGGCGGATATTCCACTCCGCGCCGAAGAGCGGCTGCAATGAGCGTTGGTTCGCCACCGCTTTTTGTTGAGCATGTGGTTGCATTTTTCTGAAGTCAGGGGCAGGACATTGAGGACTCCAGTGCTTTGTATATTTATACACAACTTGGTACTTTGGGCTTTTGTGTTGTTTATATAATATAAGCCTCTCGCATTCGGTGCGGTGGGTTGCTGGGTTGCCGGCAGTCGTCCAATAATAGTAGTCCTTCAATCCAGTCGTTCGTCTTCATCGCGTCGTTTCGGACTCTTCTCCATCGGAGCCCGATGCGATCCAAGGCGGCAACTTCCGCGGCGACACGATCTGGTTCAAGGATGACCTGACGTCGCATTCGGCCTCTCGTGCGATGCATCGGGAGGCCAGCGGCAGGCGCAGCGAAGCACAGGCAGGGGCGAAGTTCGAATTCTCGGGTAAAATGGACAATGGATAGAGGAGTGTTGAGGAGACACGACAAGGATCTTGAAGGGGAAAGCCCTGGCTTTGGCATTGTTGGCTCCAAAGTTCTTACTGTTCTTAAGTCTTACTATATATTGACAAGATTTGTCCTACCAACAATGCTTCCGACGCTTACTAGCAACCAAAACGGCTGGCCATGACCCGCCATGTTCACGCGACTGGACCCGCTAGCGGGTCCATGTCTGTCGTCGACGGTGGCGTGTGAAGCACAGGTCGATCAAAGCCCAGTGGATCAGCCCAAGTTTGGTCGCGGGCCGCGCTTCGCTGAGCACCTGACGCAGGTGGGCTCGAAGCCTCGGTGTGAAGAACGCGAAAATGTACGACTTGGCCGTAAAGAACAAGTCGTAGCACACTCTGACTCCAACGAGATCAAGTAAATCAATGGAAAATGGTTCGTGAAAAGAGTGCATTCTTCATCATTCTTCTACAAACAGAGATTTCTCCATGGTTGTTGGACGGAGTGTCACCTGCGGAGTGTCACCTGCACTTGGGTTTTCCTAGGTGAGAGTGTCACCGGCAGTTTTTCGGTCAGGAGAATAGACCCAAGACCAGCAGGCACATTGTTCACCGGAATGCTCCACAACAGCCGTGTCTTGGCGTTGTAAAGTGGCTATCTACGACATTGCATCATCAGATGCATCATCTGGGGGAGAAATACAGGACGAACACATCAGATGCATCATTTATATATTTGGATGCCACATGAGCAGCTCAGTGAGAGCAGCACGGCACCTTTTGAAACTCAGGAAGTGGGAGCAGACCGGCTTTGCGGCTTAGCTCAAAATGTTTTTTGTCACTTTTGCGCCGGAACAAACCAGTGAACCCAGGCTGGCAAGCGGGTGAAGAACCAGCAGCCGCGAGGCAAACGTTGCTTCATCGGCGCACCCCATACGGTTCCTTCCTTAGAACCGAAGGTTTCATTTGCTTCAGGATGATGAGCAAGACAAAATCCACATCATCAGTAATACAGCTAGAAGCCAGAATTAATGGACAAAAGTCAAGTTGTGAACAAGCTCATGAGATGACAAGATCCAAAATCTTTTCCATAAACCAACTGATGCTGCACCAAAACCACCAAAACCTCGTTCCGTTTCCTTTCGTTTCCTTTCGTTTCCATGTCTCGTTCCTCGAGTTCGTCCATGTGTTTTCGTTCCTTGGACGTCACCAAGGCCGACACCCCCGTCACTTGGCGAAAGAGAACGAGACGACACACGGCGGTTTGGTCGAACCGGTCGTTTTCCAGGCGACCAACGGCCGTTTTGGACGCCACAGGGCATGGCCGAGATGGTCTGTGGGAGCGAGCAGATGGCAGAGTTCTGGGAAGAAGTGGAGCATGTTGAGACCTCAGGTACTCAGAGCTATAGCTCATTAGTTGTTTCAGGTGTTGATGAGAAGAGGAAGATCCACAGTTGATGGTCTATTTCTGACTCTCTTTTTGTATCTCTCTCTGTCTCTCATGTTTGTGAAACTGTTCCCGCTAGGGACACATAGCCAGCAATAAGCATGCTTGAGCCATATCTTCCAAGCCGGTCATCTCTGCTTGTCATCAGCAAAGCAGCTGAAGCCTGGCATGTTGTCAAATTTGTTCAATCAAAATCCGTCTGAGGAGAATCCAAGCATGGCCGCAATCTTCAATGGGTATGCAGGCTGCAGCGGTTTGGTGCTGTTGATGATCAGGCAGTGAAACTGGTGAAACTGACCAATCTTGAGCTGGAATCCTGGAAGGCTACTCAGACCAGGCGGCAGATGCCAACGGCGAGAGAATCACTGGCACCCGGCACTTCTGGGGTGCCCCACATGTGCCTTGGATAAGCAATCAGAATCACATGCTGCTTCAATTGGAGTGATTCTGCCATGTTGCTGCAACAAACAATCACAACTATGGCGCTCCATAGGGGAGTGGTAAGCTGCATGCATCGTCTCTCACAAGACACTCACATGGCGGTCATGGCACCGGGTCCACCAGCCAAGATGAACAGAAGAGGTCAAGCTACCAAGGCTTTGGAGCTGTCGCTCCGGGTGTTTTGGGGCACCGATGACATCCAATGACCACATCTCTTCAGCTTTGTGAGTGTTGATGTGTTGATGTCTCAAGCAAAACCCTCCAGGTGACAGACACACAGGGTCTGGAGCAGCTGATTTGTGGCAGTGACAAGCTGACCGAGCTTAAGGAGGGATGTGTCCTTGAATGTACATTCACTGCCCAAGATGGGCCGTGTCAGACTCCTGCTCGCGTCATGTCGCGTCGCGCGTCTGGATGGACGTTCGACTCTGTTTTCACGGGACATCGGAGACATGTTGTTGTTGGACATCCGAACACGACAGTTATACAGTACTCTTTTTGACAAGATTGCCCCAGAAGTTAAGATGTCTGCAATGTTTGAAAATCCTCATCATGATAGTAACTTTGATAGTACGCATTGACTCTGGTGATGCCAGAAACTAGCCAAAACGGCTGGATTTGCGGCCAGGACCAGCATGAAACAAAACATGGGGACCTTTCTGGGATGTTGAAAGGCGCGTGGGAAGCTCGTATTTCGTCTGCGAAGCCAACCGCGTCACAGCCAACCGCCAGCCATTATTGCTTGCGAAGCATGTCAAAATAATATCCAAATAGAATAAGAGAAAGGTGTTCTTGTTGTCGTTTTGTTCAATGGCCCCAAAAAAACTCTAGTGCCATCCACGCCATCCTGGTGACCACTAATCTGTGTTCTTCACTTCTGAAGGAAGGAACATTCGCAGCGGGTGCTGTTCGCAGGCCTTGCTGGGCGCACTTTGCAGCTGGATGATGACGGTGAGAGCCGTGCACGCTCCAAAAAGCCGGGTTCTCGTGCATGGGAAGTTGGTGTCCATTGAGTGAGTTGGACAGATCGAGACTCCTATCCTGCTGTCTTGGCCCTTCATTACTGTACATCATGCCATCATGTCCAGTCAGACTTTTGAATAACATGTTGGTTGGTTTTGGGCTGTGTGGAGATGCGTTGAGTAGCAGTTAGCAGGTTGATGAAGACGACGGGGTTCCCACTGCCATGGAGCAAACGCCCGTTGCTGAGGAACTTCTTAGGCGCTCCACACACGCAGGACACGCCACTCTCTGGCGTTTTGTGTGGAAGCGACAAGATGCAAGAGACTTGTCTGAACGAACCGGGGCCTTTCACTGCGAAAGTTCCCATATAATATAGTAGAGTCTAGTTGTTTCCATGATTTTCGATTTCTCCTGGAATCTTCGCACAATTGGACCAAATCTGAGGAATACCGTCAGAAGCACTTGGAGAAGTATCGTGCCACTCTCAACTCTCAACATCAGCAGAGCATAAAGGTTTGCCGAAATAATGACACTATCTACTATCTTCGACTGCAAAGAACCAACAAAAGCCATAGACTAAGACTTCGCCCACTTGGTGAGAGCTACACATGTTTCATCTTCAGATAGAGAATGAAGCAAGATAGTTCTTCCACGCCATCTCTGCTGCAATTTCTCGGATCCTAAGGTTCTCAAGAGCGGATGTTTGATGGACACGCTGGGCTAAGTCTTCAAGCGGACGATGCGGGCACTGGGCCGGTCCGTCGCAGCTGGGCAGCCCTTGCTACAAGCGCGTTTGCGACAGACGCGATGGCCTCCAACCTACTAGTTCAACTGGGGAAGGGAAATTCCGGACCTTCATTCATGGGCCTTCTTGACTCAAGATTACCCAAAATCCTTGGACAACTCATGGGGCTCTTTGGCAGCCATGGCCACTGCCATGGCCGAGCTTCGGCTCATCTCCGATTCGCCAAGGCCAAGGAAAGCGCGACTTTGGCGGTGCCCCACACGTGGCGGACTCGCAAGACGTGTCGCTGGGCGGAGGTTGTCAGTCGCTGGACGGAGATGGTCGAGGTCTACGGTCGGTCACCGTGTAGACCGTGCCTGACAGTAAGATGTTGGATTCATTTGGGTTCTACTCCCAGATTTCAGTCAAAACCCCCAGTGTTGAAGCCTTCTCTAAGGCTTTTATAAGGAACTTAGATGGAACCTTTAAATTGGATTAAACGTGATTCATTTGGAATTGTTGCGGCCAAACTTTGGCACACTAATTTCAATTGGTTTTGACGATCCCTTCAAAAAGAAAGTGCAACACCCTGTCCTTTCTTTTACCCCTCAGTAGGTATGCAGTAGGAAAATGTAGGAATTGATCGACCACTTACGTATGAGGGTATTGAGTGGTCCACTGGGGGTTCTCAGGTTCTCAGTTGGGCCTTTTCCGAGGTTCGACTTGGTTTGTGGCTCTCCAACTCTGAAGGAGGCCGGTATGATGGAGAGGAAACGAAGAGCTCGGATTTCTGCACGACTTGAATTCACGAAAGAACCTTCAGGCTAGGAGGCAGGTTTTTTGGAAGGATACTGTACTTTGAACATGTAAACAAATCGCAAGGCGTTGCTTTTGCATTGTCCTTGACCCAGTTGTTTGCTGCTTTGTTTGCAAGATGTTGACGTGCCTGATGTGAGGCTCATGCCAAGAAGACAAATCCCTCACTGCAAAATATGTTCGATGGCTGCGCAGGCCTTTACCTCCAGGAGAGAACAGCCATAATGCCATAGGGTGGAAAAAGCTGTTAGAACGTTGGCACAGACCAAAGCCAATCGATCAAGATCACAATGGTGGACCCCTTCACAGTACTCCGACACTGAACACCAAACGCCTTTCGAAGGATGAAGACCTTGAGGGTCCACGAAGTCGCGGGAAGAAGAAGGTCAACGCACGAAGTGTTTATCATTCTTCAGCCGCTTGGCCAGACATCAATGACAACAGCTTGGAAGTTGGAACAGTTTGGAACTGGGAGGTTTAAATGTCAAATGTGGTAGGGGCCTGATATGACCAGAAAGCCGAGCCGACCATCTCATAGCTGGCGTTCGTTCCTGCAACTTGTGTGACTGGCCGACTCGACTGGCTGACTGAGCTTCGACAGCCAAGGTTGGGCAGTTTGGATGCAAGAGAACTTGGGTGGTCGAGGATGGATGGATGGATGGATGGATGGAGGAGGAGGAAGAGGAGATGATATGTAATACGTGAGATTTGTGATGATTTGTGATATGTATTGATATGTGATTTTTTTGTGAGTAAGTTTAGGAGTTTCATTTTGGTGGACTTTTCAGATGGTTTCGTGCCACCAAAGTTTGCGTGGTTGAGATACATTTTACTGGACATCCCACGACTTGGTGCGGACACTGTTACAGTACCAATTTGTGGGTACCATTTGTGACATGTGGGTTCTGTCTGGATCTTCATGCCAAGCGCACAGCTTCATGCGAAGGCACCTTTTCTAAAGTGTTCACCTACTGCCACTCAGCACCTGAACTGTCAGCCTAGGCAGCAATGCTTCGAGAATGCTTTCCAGCCAAGCGTGCCTGGGCTGATTTGATTCTGGCATGCGGCATATGCCAATGGGTAAGACATGGTAAGACATTGTAAGACACACCTTCATGATTGAAGCAAGTGAAAGCAAACACTCAAGGCAAATGAAAGCAAGCATGGGCGCACATGGGCGCCTTGTTAAAGTCCAGAACATTGTCCTAGGGAGTAACTCTCAAACATAGTTTGTGCATGGAGTAACTCTCAAACAATGACCTCTAAGACTTGAATCCGTCTTATGTAGAGCTTGATTTGGATGGAAAAAAAAACGTCTTTGGTCTTTTGAGCGTCTTTTGCGCATTACAGTTTGCAGCCTCTCTGAAATGGTTTCGCTGCAAAGTTTGTGTTGCTGAAAGCCCTTTTTGAGCTGTTTGCATAAGCTGAGGAGTCACCCAGTAGCTATCGCTCCGAGATGCCAAAGCTTCCCACCTTGCAGCTTGGTGGACTTAGATGAGGACGGAAAAAGGAGATGACATTTGGAGCGCTACGTCCGTTTCCCGTCCCTGATCAACACACGTAACTCCTGCATGTGAATGATCGCGCAAGATAGGGATCAAAAAAGGATCAAGAAAGGCCAAAGGACCAGATGAACGAAGCATCTCATCCAATCCACTGCGCCTTGGACTCTACGGAACCCGCATGATCCATTGCGCGTCAGATCGTGTCCATTCCTATAGTGCCATCCATGGCATCCCAAGCTCCTTCATTCAGGTTCATCTCGCATGGCATCGGGCCAATGCCTTTGCTCCTGGACGAAGCGCATCCCTTTCGGCGATCCTTGGCAGAGATCCCCTCGCGCTTGCAGCTGGACGAAGAAAATGCCGCTCGAATCGGAACTTGGGGTGAATCGGGCTTGGGGGATGTTTGGGGATGTTGGGTGTCCTTTCGTTCCAATGATCCGCTGCCGCTGCCGCGTGGAGCGCGATCTACTTATCACATCTTATCACTGCTTTTCTGGCTGGTACCTGGTCCATTTGGTGGGAGTTTCCTTCAGGCTCGCATGAGTCGAGCTAAGAAGCAGCATGAAGCAGCATTCATCGCAGTCACATTTGTGCTCATTTGAATAACTCAATTTGAACTCGTCTAAGCTCCAAGCAAGCACCACCAGCTCGCAGCTGTTCACTTCAGTAGGGGCGTGTTCTTTCACACCGGCCTCCTCGCATAGGCCTCACAGAGGCCTGGCCTCACATAGGGCCCTAAAGCTGTTTGCTTCCGGAACCATCGAGGTGAGATGTATCCTCGTGATCTCCGCGCACTGGGAGACCAAGGGAGGGCTGGAGGCGCCAAGAATTGGCTGTTTTTTGGTACCTTGGTCTAAGAGGATTAGAACACAACTCTAGCACAAAATCAGATGTGGCTCCCTTACTAAGTGTTAGACTGTTTGTATTTCTAGGCACTCTTTCTATATGTTTGGATGGAATCTCCCCACCGATTCACTGGGAGGATGAGAGTCAAGTCGTCCACTTCGTGCCAGGTGACGCTGAGGAGAACCCATGGTCAGGGGTTGCTCTATGACTATGCTGGAGCTCCTGAGAAGACCTACGAGGCAGACATGTTCAGACATGGCCTAGTTTAGTTACTACTTGTAGGCCTACATTTGGAGCAACAGATTGAAGATTTCACAGATTTTCTAGAGATCATACAGATACAAGTTACTTTGTAGGGAAATGACAGTGAGATGGCAGCTTTAAATAAGAAATGCAAGGAAGAAGTGCAGGAAGGCATGATGAGCATGCTTTCCAGTCCTGACTTGGGGCGCAGTCGTCCTGTTGCGTTTAAGCGCAGGTACACCAGCGCTTCCACCCACCAGGTGATGCAGAAGTGCCAGAAAACTCAGAGCGCTTCAACAAACCTTGTGGAACAGATGAAGCACAGATGTGGAGAACATCCTCCCATTGTTACATTGCACAAAAGCCATAGCCACTGTAGCCAAAGATCCTGTCTAGGCTGTAGGACAAACAATGAAAAACGAGACTAGAATCCTAGTTCGGGGTGGAGGTCTAAAAATGCGTTAGAGACCAACATGATGTGCAGCTGATACTGTCTCATTTGGATGGAAGTCATTGTGAAGTCACCGATTCGATCACGAAGGAAGTTCGGCTCCGTCGTCGTTCGCTGACCAGGTCGGGTTGGATCTTGGATCTCTTAAGTGCGGCTGGGAAGGAGGTCAGACACAATTCCGGACGAAATCTCGAGCCTTGGAGACGAGGCAGCTGCCTTTACAGGTCACCACTGTTGATAGGGCAGTTTTGATAGGGAATTTTTGGTCAAATCCGAGTCAGGTATTTGGGTCTTTGACCTGAGCTTTGTTTGCATTTGGTTTGAACAAACACAGCATTGTAGGTTTTTGGCCTCATTCGGCAGTTATTTGTTGTTCCCAGGCTACCTTAATTTGGCCTAAGACGCCAACATGCATTTGTGGATGTTGATGAGCTGAGGATCACGGTGTGTTCGTGCCTCTGACTTTAATGCCGCATGGCCAGCACTTGAGCATCAACTTGTGGCGTGTTCCTCTAAGGGGTAGAGGATTGAACATTGGTGGGGAAACAGTCAGGTGCCGAAGTTGAACCACAAAACTGTTTGGGAAGGTCAATCTAAGACCACCAAATACCAGGATATTCACCAGGGTACCAAGTCAGGTCTTGGATCCAGCCATTTCACCGGACCTGACCTGGGCCGGCCGAGAAAACGTATTCCCCCCATGCCATTTGCTTTGCACTGTCTTCATGGCCATATTCATCAGTCACAGGGGTGCCAAAAGGTGCCCCACTGAGGCCGGAGTTGATGAACATCCCAGTGGTACAGCTAAGCCTTCCGGCACTGAGTGGTCAAAGAGGAGCTGAAGTGGCACAGCATTGCTTGGAGGTGGCAACGTCGCAGAGACTTGTCAAGTGTTCTAAAAGCACTTCGCTTAACGCTGCCGGCCTTCTCTTCGAGCAGTAGGGACCCAGAATCCTCCATCTGGCTTTTGATGTGCTGATTTTCTTAGTAGGACCACATCAATTATCATCAATCCTTCCATTTGAACCCCTCACTTTCATGGGATGTTCATTTTGGGCCCTTTCCATAAGTCTCGACTGGAGCTTGATCAAAGCAAAGCACCACGTGACCCATGGTCACGGGCATCCAGGTGGGCCGGGCTTTGGCTCCTTTGAGGCGCGTCGGGTGCGTCACAGCTTCGTAGCTTCGCTGCCGAACATTGTCCAGCAATGATTTCACTAACGATGTCATCAATCATTGGTTAGACGATGACAATGTTGACACGTGACAATGTTGACATGCAATGTGTCCACTCATCACTCATCCAAATATCAATCTACCGACCTACTAAACCCAAACATAGAATGGTTTGAGATCCTTTGAGCATTTTCACCTGGCGTACAAGACGGACAATTTGCTTGCGACAGAACATCAGTTTCATCTTATTTCATCTTGCTTCAACTGAACTTCCGACATCACCTCCCCTGACCAACCAACCTGACCAACATCAATTATCATCTCACGGCGCCAAACACCCATCCATCCGCGTCCACCGAAAAAAAAAAAAGAAAAGTACAAAGAGTTTTCCAGATCAACGGCAGTTTTCCAGATAAAAAAATAAACAAGTACCAAGAGGGTCCGGCACGTTTTCCAGATTCAACGGCGAGTTCCTCGCGTCCCCCTCCTCTCCAGGTCCCGAGGTGTTCTGATCATCGGCAGTGGGCTAGCGTCCACCGCCTCGGCGAAGCCGCAGCACCTGGAAAGGTCGGCGTTCGGCCGGATCAACGGTCGGCCCGTGCCGTTCCGAGATGAATCGTTCAAAGATGATCCAACAGTATACTGTACGGTGCTTTCTAATCATATACAGTACAATATAGCAGTTATACTGCTATACTTAGCTTATGATCGCAATTGGTTTTGGTCGACCAGGTCGAGTTCTGAAGGGCGCGGGCGCTTCGATGTTCCGTTGATGGCAGGTGGGCCGAGCAATTGAAACGCCTCTGCTGCAAAGCGCAGCCTGCCCAACGTGACTTGACAGGGGGAACATGCTGCAGCACTGATGCAGAATCGCAAGACAAGTCTCAAAGATGTCGTAGATGAGGGCGCAGCTGATGCTGAAAGAGCTGTTGTCACAATGTGTCATCATTTGCATTCACCCACTGTATAGTGGGTTGCAGGGCCTTGGAGACAACATCATGCATCATTCTGCTCAGGCTACGAAGGCCTTCGACAGTGGACCTACATGTTGCCTCACGCTCGAGAGGCGAGATGAGACCACTTGGAGTCAAAAAGCATCTTAGGGAAACTACCCTGAGTTAGTTCCTAGTGATTCCTCCTACCGCACCCAGCGGATCACGTAACATCAAAACACATTCAAACACCATCTCTTCCCAAGATGTCTTGTGGCTTCTTCAGGTACATGGCCGCGAAGATCATTTGTTGCCACTTCACGTTGTGGCAGGCAGGAAGACTTTGCTGCTATACTTCTGAGTCAGGAAGTTGGGCCGAATGCTTCCTTTGACTCGAATGCCATTTTTGGGAAAGAACGATATCGCATTGGTGTCGGTATCTTCGATCAGGTGCTGCTTTGGATGACCGGGGCCAGGTGTGGCAGTCTGCCGAATCGGCGTGCCATGCGAACTTGCCGGGCTTCCGGACCTGCCATGCGGCGTGAAACCTTTCTAAGTGATTTATACGGTTTTTTCTAAGTGAGTTGAAGTTGAAGACGAGTCAAGACAAAAGAGGTATCCCTCAGCATGTTGTTTCTTGCCTTGATAAGACCGAAGAACTGTGAAGGTCCTGGCAGACCTTCGCGAACACGACCGCGCCAGAGGCTAACTTTAAAGCAGAACATGAATGATTAAGTCTTGTTTTGGCAATTGTTGGCAATCTTTGCACAGCCCTAAGTTAGAGACTTGGAATTTCCCTGCGCAGATATCTCGACATGTTTGAGAAATCCGCAGATTCGGAGCTCTCACCGAGGCCATGACGCACTTCACATTTGGCTGAGTGGTCCGAATCCCGAAAGCAGCACCCTCATGACGTCCGCGGTCGCAGCAAGCTGCTCAGGTTCTGACATTTTTGCTGAGCGCCTCATCTGGACAAAAGGGCACTGGATCCCAAGAAATGTCAAGTAAAGGTGCTGCCAAAAAAGAACATCCACTCCAATAGCTGAAAAAAGTTGCTTGAAAAGCAGCAGAGGTTGTTATTTTTGCACCAGGAATCTAAAAATCGCTTCGATCGTAGCAAATGGGATGCTGGGCTTAGAAACGTTGGTTTTCACGGCAATTCGTGCATAGCTAATTTGGGCTTCACCAAGTCTTCCTTTCAGGATTGCAAGGAGGACTCGGGGAAGTCCACCTGTCTATTCCCCTCGTTCCCGAATCGGATCCCAAATGGGATCGTGAGAGGACGGAGATTCCAGAGGTTTGAGACGCTCAACTCGATTAGTTGCTTAGTTGTTCTCACCCTGCCACAGGCAGCGCCAGACGCAGCTCGTCTTGCGAGAAAGAAATAGCCCGAGGGGGCGGTGCGTTGATGTCCAAAATTGACATCCAGAAAATGACCCAATCTATGAAATCAAATGAGGGTAGTTCTGCTTGTCCTATGGCCTTTGGGGAGCTTCCCTTCCTTGACACAACTGAGATAAGTTTGCCATTGGACTCAGACTTAGTGACTAAGTACTTTGCTTCGCATCTAACGAGGCAGGCAAAGCCCTTTGAGTTTGTGGTGGGCCCCTGGAAGTGGTGATACCAATGCACCAAGGAAACCGCAAAGAAGGGCACTTCCTGCACCTTAAGCAGCCAGGAATTTGATCTCCGGTTTTATCATGTTCTATCCCAACAGTGCCATCACATGTCATCAGGCTCCCACTGGAGGTGGAGACATATTAATTCTATGTGGAAATAATTTGAAAAATACTTGACATGAATCAGAATCCATAATGTAAAACAGTTTCTTTGTACATTGCGGATTTGATTTGATCATCAGGAGCTGTTGATGCAATGATGCGTGTTGCACTGTGGACATAAAACCCCTCAGCCCAAATAGTTAGTTTGAAAGACAAGAGAGTCAGTGAAACAAGCTAGGATTTTCGGAAAAAGAATCGCACTAACTTAATGTGCATTGGAAGATCTTCACGAGTCATGTGCCTCATGTATGCTCTGATGGCATCCCTGGGCATTCATTTGCCCTCGGTCGAACACACGGATGCTGGAACCGCTCGGTTTCAGCCTCTTTGGCCTTTTTTCCTGGGCGGTTTTCATCGCCCAGGCGGACGAATGCGTGACCTGTGAGCTAGCGACACCCTTGTCACCACGCTGCAGCATCACCGCCAACGAAGCTGGTCGATTTCATCTGGCCTTCTCCAGGAGTTGTCCTGCAGCAGTGGCGGTGGAGGCGTCGATCTGTGCGAGTTTCTACGAAAAGACCTGGTCAACGCTCGGTGCGGCATTTTTGCTCTATGATGCTGCCTTGATGTATGTGGCTTCCTTCGGAGGCGCTTCTTGCTTTGACAGCTCGGATTGGAGTACATTCTTCAACACCTCATCAAGGCAGCTGCTATCCTCGTACACAAAAGTGCTTGTCGAAGTTTCTGGAACTGGGATTGAGTTGATTGGAGGAGCTGTCACGAGGTACTTCAAGCAGGAACTTGCATGCCCACTCGAAAAAAGGCTCAAGCCTGTAAATTGGGAGGGAATTCGAGCAGTTGCTGCCGCAGAGATGATCTCTTGGAATCAAGCAATCGGCAATTTACCACCGCATTGGAATGGCTTAGAGCAGACTCCACAAAATTTGCCGTTGGTGAGTTGTTTGGTGCCAATTGTGTGGCCGCGCCAGAAGCCCTTCTTGCAAGCGATTGTCGAAACGTTTGGGCAAGACTGCGATGAGCTCTATTTTTTCATATCTTCTGCCAACGCTGTGAGAAGAGACCTTGAGATGTTCTCAGATGGTTCAAGTTTTTCGGTGATCAATTTGCACGAGATCTATCCAATGGTGCCACCCGATCAAGATGAATTTCATCGAGAAACGGGTGACCGTCCAGGGCATGACAGTTTCAACACCATCATCAAACTTTTGCATATGTTGCGCTGGGCAGGTGAACACATGCACTCCACAGGAGTCTCCACAGGACAATGGTGGTATTGCCGCTTGGAACGAGATACCTTCTTTATACCGGAGAATTTCCGATTCCTTGTTGCATCCGAGCGTTTGGATGCATCAGAGCCCCATTATCTCGGGGTCCGGCAATTTCTGGACTTGCCCCGAATGGGTTTGGTGTTCAACGACGGTGGTCCAGGGGTGTGTTTATCCGGAGGTGCCTTGTGGGCTCTCCAACGAGTCTTGCAAACCATGCCAGGCGTTCTTGAAGAATACCCCGACTTTCAGCGCTGTGCTTTTGCCACAGGACACAGAGAAGACTTGATGCTGGCAGCATGCCTAAAGGAAGTCAAGGTCTTTCCATCTCCTGTCACTACCGATGTTCTCGGCCGAGAATGGTTCAGTATCCGACCTTTGCGAGGCATCTCCACCCATCACCCTCCTGCGGATCCGCACATGGGCGATGGACAGCCCGCATGGAATTTCTGGACTGGTCGGAGTCATTTGTTTTTGCCTTGCATTCAGCATAACCGTCAGTGGATTGTGGAGACGCCTGTGTCCTTCAATTCATTTAAGAACACCTCAATGTTTTACGAGGCATGGTCGCTCTTGAACCAACCAGGGGGACCAAATCTGGAGGGAATAGACCCAGGCTTCCGCTTGGAATTGAGTGGCCTGCGTCGCTCGCTGCTTCACAAGAAAAGACATGGCACCGGTGAATGGGTTAACTTCCATTTTGAACATGCCAATTCAATCACTTGAGTGAGTGACGGGCAAGGTGGATTGCTACGCTCCATTTCTTATTTAGGGTGTTCACGAAGGGTTTTAGAGACTTCCTGAAAGGTTCGTTCTTACTCCACCTGCGCTACAGGGTCTCCCTCCATCCTGAATGGACGACGATGAGCTGATGCTGTTCGGGACTCGGCATGCCGACTGGTTGTTTTGCTCCTTCGCTGTTCAAACACAGAGGGGCTAACTTCCTAACAAGCTTTCAGCTTTCCCGATGATACAGGCTTTTCCCATGCTCTAAGACTAGGTCGCAACCTCTGACCTCAAACATAAAATGCTGTAGCCAGAAAACTAAACTGTTGTGGCTTTTGCGGGGTCAATGATTTTGTTCCATAATCGTGAAGCTTGTATCAGGTGCAAAGCTCCAAGTGAGGCCAAGGAGTCAGCAGGGATAGTAGCCAATCAGCCAATCTGTTCATTTTCTGATGTGCTGTTGATCATCGTCATCTCATCCTACCACATCTTGGAATATGTTGTTTTTTCCTGGTCTAGAGCTGGTGTGTAGATTCGGCTTGTCACACTGAGATGTCCTCCTCACCCAGCAAACGGCCGTGCGTGGCCCTGGCCGAGGAGAAGCCGCCGCTGCGGCACCCCAGCGGCATCCGCCACGGCGGGAAGCTGAAAAACGTTGCGATTCACGGATGTTTAGATTTTTAAGACGAGGTTTCGAGGCTCGGGCTCTGTAGGATCAGTTGTAAGTATACTAGTAAGAGCATTTGCCGGTTCAATGAGGGGTTAGCGAAGAAGCCCGCAAGCCCATTGGCTTGAGTAAATGCAGATGGCATTTAACCTGATTTGATGGCAGTGAGGTCTGAAGATGGCAGATGCAGGTGCCTCTTGACATTCCACAAGACCGGCTGTTGGGATCCAACGAAAAGATACGAAAAGCATTTCTGGTTGTGAGGAGCAGGTTGCAACCGTAGGGGGTTGGCAAAAAGAAGCTCAAAGCTTTGAAGCGGCATGACATTGCGAGTGGTTCCTGCAGTTTGTTGGATCTCCGTTTCTTGGAGAGGCCGCCATTCGCCGCGGCCACCATCCGTCTTGAGCCTCAGCGGCGAATGGTGTCAAAAAGGCCATGCCTCCAATGGTCACCAGCTTAACGACAGGCCGAATGCAAATTGGGTTAACTGCGGCCCTGCGCAGATTGATATCTCGGTCGTGACATGTACTCCGCTGCTGAGGCCATGAGCCACAGTACACGGGAACCGAGTGAAGGGCGGCCGGTGGGGGGAACCCAGTGAACCCCGGGGTGGGGCTGATAGAGACACGATGAGACACGACACGACTGTCGAACGGCAAAGTAGGAGTTGGACTGAACCTTGACTACCACCTCTTAAAGGGGCATGTTCAATTCCTTCATGTTTTTGTTTATCACCTCTATGCTTTCCTTCGATTTCGGCAGAAGAGAGAGTCCTGTTCTGCAGGAGAATCGGAGAAAAGATGAGAGAACAGACGAGCACCAGACGAACAGAAGATAACAGAAGAGCAGGCCATGGCGGTCAGAGACAGAGTTACCCGAAGAACATCGATTACACCTGATGTCGTGGGACTGGGACCCACACCCAGTCCCCAATCCAGGATTCTCGAGGCTCCAACACGAGCGACTACAGCGGGTTCCGGCAGGGGTACCTCGGTGTGCAAGATCCATCCAGGCCATCTGAGTTGCGTGCTTTCTGTTGGACCGGACCATGTTAGCCATGCCTGCCTTTTCTTCTCTCTACTCTAGCCTGGATGAGACTATTATGATATACCAAACCAAAGTGCTCCTTGTGTGGTGGCCAGCATTTGAGGCGTGGTCGAATGCTGATGGAGCGCCATGCACGTGGTGCTACGCCGACCTTGGAGGAGAATGGTCCCTACAAACGGAGTTTCCAGCTGCCCAGTGGTCATCCACAAGCAGTTCCTTTGGGCTCCTCGAGCACAAATTGCTGAAAGGATTATTGAGGAGATTGTAGAGTTATATTAGGGGGACCTCAGTGGGAACCCCCCAGTTCCAATGGTTTTTTTTGATGTTGTTTGATGTTCCTAGAGGTTTGGGGGGTCTCCCAATATTCTAAGTCTAAGCCATATAAAGTTACTTGACTTCCTACGCTTGGAATGCTATTCTGTTTTGCCTATATTTCATAAGCAGTTGAGTTGTGCAGCAAGACATCATGAGCTTTGGCAATCGGAGTTGCTTTGGATCACCGAGGTGATGACGAGGTGGCTTTCCAACCTCAAGATCATGAGGAGCTTTGACACGTGATGCTGTTGAAGGGCAGACCGTGGCAAAACCTGACATCATTTTGTATGGTGGGCCCATGTTGCAGGGAGAATTGAATGGTATCGGATTTTGACCATCAGCCGTCGGATGATGCATTATGGTGCAGTTGCTTTCTTTTCTGATCATTCTGATCCAGAGTCCCAGTGTCAGCCATCACGTTTTCTGTAGCGAAATTGGCTGGAAGGTTTCGGCGATCACAGCAGCTGCAGCCAGAAGGACCATCTTCACTTCATTGGCATTTTGGAAAGAATCATGTCATACCCATACCCCTTCCTCCAGAGCTAAAAGTACAAGCTTTCTTGCTAAATGTTCGATGCCGACCTCACCTCACGCTGAATTCTGTGAAAGTTGAGCTTCCCCAAAAAGCTATATAGCTACTATAGTACTCTGGGGAATTTCAACATTTGGGCTCGAGTCGAGGAGCGCAAGGCACAAGTTCTTTTTGGCGTTCAAAAATATAACTTGCAACCATGGACCACTGGCCTTGACAGGAAAGAAGCGTGGGAAAGCTTTAAGAGCCAAGTGAACTCGCAGGACGGAGACATTGATTCCATTAAGTTAAGATCCTAATCTGGTCAATCAAGACTGTTGCAAGAGTTCTGAATTGAGTCGGGTGCGTTGCGGAAGTATTGCACTACTCGGAAGGAAGTCCAAGCTTGGGATGACCGTCCTAACTAGTGAAGCCCTTAACCGGAACTGACTTCCCGCCATACGGCTGGCCATTCCGTCTCTTCCGTGTGGCCAAAGCAAGTCTCTTCGGATCTCTTCGGTGCCAACAGCTCAAGTCTTCGTATGTTTCGTTTCATGCGCTTCAACAGACGTAGACCACGAACCGAGGCTGACACACTGACCGACGCCGCTGACTCCAGGAGACCTACGGCTTCACACCTCGCGCTGGTCGCGGTATCGCTCGACCCGGTAGCGCAATGGTCAATCGACCCACGCCGCAAGGGCCGCAGGTGGAGAGGGACGGGGGAATGACGGGGATGGGGGATCGGCGAGGTCTTTTCCGCATTGGCGAAGAAACACCATGAAAAACCTCAAGGAAGGTTCATGATTGGGCGCCCTAGCAAAGAGGTGGTAGACCCTGCAGAGGTAGCAGCAGCACTCGCTTGGAAGAAATCATCGGCTTAATTGATTGAATCGCAGGAACTGAGAAGCTAGAGTTGCTGGGTAGATGATCGGTAGATGCCAGTAATGCCAGTATAGACGAGCAGCTCAGTTGCTTCATTCATGGGTGTCTATGCTGTTTGTTTTGTTAGTTTGGCAAGCGCTTGTTTCGGGATGTTTCGGATAATGTTTGATGTCTTCCAGCAGATGCTTTTTTGGTGCCCTTCTGGAGCGGTGTTGTTCGACTAAGAAGTCCTCAAGCAATGATCGGATGACATGGACGGGACGTTCTTGGCAAACTCATCACTCTCCTCTCACACCGGTGTCACCAGGTCTTGCGTTCAGAGGGCAAGAATTGGAGGGGTATTCATCGTCCACCATCGGCGCACGAGTCGTGCAAGCCTCGGGGACGGATCGGGGGGAAGTGGGATTCTTTTTGAGCAGGAATGCATTTCGGTTGGTCTAAGAGTTGGATAACCTTGGATAAGAAGAACAAAACATGTGTGAGTAGTTAGTTCTGTCACACGGTTCTGTCTCATCTGTAGGACAAACTTGCTTGAGAGTAGCCGGTAGCTCACAAGAGAAGGGATCAAGTCCTGCGGCAATTCTCGGATATTCCAGGCATTATGTTGCATGCCTCAGTGATCCTCAGTCCGTTTCTAAGGTCCCGATTGGTTTTTGGAGCAGGCACCTGGAGACGTTTCACATCGTTTCACTGCGTCACGAGGAAGAGAGAGAGAGAGGTTCAATGCACCGTGCTGAGAGCTGGTTGGGTTAAACGGGTTGGGTGAATTCCAGCGACAGCGAGCTGGTAGAGGTCGTTCTAGGCAGGAGTTTGCCCTGGAAGAGCTGCGGAGGCCCTTTGCGAGCTGCGCGGCTGGGCTGTGAAGCAGGTCACAGTACTCAATACTCCTGCAGGGCAGAGGCCCTGGGCTCAGCTGACGGTGGAGGCCTAGGGAGATGCGAAAGAGAATGCTTTTGATGGATGATCATTGGCAGCTTTCCCAGCAATGCCACAGGTTTCTCCCTTTTTACATGGGGGATCAGATGACTTGTGTTAGCCTGGGGACTTTCTTACGTTGTCCTGTTTTCTCATGAGGCTTGGTGGAAGAGAAGTCCCGGCGCCGACCGGCCGGGATCCAAGTTCTGCCGACACGTCGGCTGCCCTGCGGGCTGTCTTCATTGGATTTGTAAAGTCCAAACTCGACAGTATGCCAAGAAGTTTAAGATGTTTAAGGAGTGCACGCATTCTGCATACATACGATTTACATCGATTTACACACTCAGTTTGTTCGTTCTCATCAACGTAGGATTCAAACAGCATGTCCAGTTGTTGGGCGGTTTTACAGCCTTGATCCCCTCAACACTCACCTCCATGCTGCGACCCACCTGCAGGCGCTGTCAGGGGCTCTTCGAGCGCTCGATTTTGCAGTCCCAAGAACCGGGCTGGAACTCGGAGCTGGGCGCGGTGCACCCAGGTTTGGGACCAGGGCTGGAAGACACCAGCAGACTGGTGCGGTGCATCCAGGTGGTAGGGTGTGTGAGCTACCATATCATGTGCTGTTTGAGAGCGACATGAGCAAAATAGTACTGTATATATGAGCGCATGTTATTTTCTAACTCATGTTTTCCGTTGGTATTTGCTCCCAGGATCAACATCACTGTGCTTGATCCTTGAATTAGATGATTGATGTTGAATATAGGAGACGTTTACAGTTTGGGGTGGTTGTTTGTTGGTGGGAAGAAGAGTTTCATCCAGAACAAGAAGCTACGAACGGGGCTCCTGGCATCGCTACGAACGGAGCGATCGGACGCTACGAACGGGGCTCCTGGCCTTACTACTAGTAACAATGTTCGCTACGAACGGAACAAACCTGGATGACCAATGCAGAGCGAAGTCGGATCCCCACCCAGGCTACCTGAACTGCGGCTGTCCTGCGGGCGAGCTTTGTCCTCACTGGCCTTCCGGGCGACCCGTTAAGGCGCTTGGATTGGGCCATAGCATTCATTCGCACCAAAAAGGGAGTACAATTTCATGCGATGTGTTGTGGTCAGTTCATAGGTCATTTAACTCCTTTTTTGTTCGAAGTTGGAAAGAAAGGCCCAGGTGTGAATCAGTTTTCCCGCAACTTGTTGCTCTCACTCTTGGAGTAATTATTGTCTCCCTTGTCTCTTTGAGATGCTTTTGTGTCCGGCAGGCCGAAGGTTGTTTCCCCACGCATCCCATCGTGCCACACATCACTGCCTTGTTGAGGCCGGTGATGCCCCGCCCTTACCTGGTGCAGAAGGCGGCCAGGCGCCCGCGAGCAAGGAAAGCAAGGGCAGCAAGTCTTCAGCAAGTTCAGCAAAAACATATATTTTAGCATGGCTGAATGACGTCTAGGCCACAAACAAATCATCCAGTTCAAGTGTCTCAGAAGATCTACTGTAGTTCTGATTTTTGACCCTAAACCGCCCTTTCTCAATGATTGGTCCCTACAGCAGGCCCTCACACACACACAAAGCCTTTGACTTTGGCCACCTATTTCAAGCTTTGCAAATGGATCCAAAAACCAAGAGGAAACTCCCCCAAAATCCGAGCTGATCCGATCACCAGACCCACTGAAGGGTGAGGCTCACCCTCACCCTCCCTCGCCCTCCCTCACCCGGGGCTTCACCCTCACCCGAGTCGCTAGGCACGTAGCCTTGGCCTCAACTTGGCACCGCCACCCAAGGCGCGCGCATAACGGTCCGGACACGGCCGTGACGGTCCGGACCGTGCTGAAGGTGAAAGGTGAAAGAGACCCGAAGAGACCTGAATGGATGTCGTTTTTCGTTCTTTTTCACGGATGAATTAGCGCTTGTATTTTTTGCCATGTGTTTGGCAACTTGTTGGCTTGTAATTATGGACCATTTATAGACTATAGACATCTATATCGACTTAATATATTATTCTTTCCTCCTTTCTTGTTTCACCCGCAGAATTATGATGAATTGTCCTGAAAGGAGGATGACGTGGAGTTACTCGGAGATGTCATGCCTCGGGCCGACCTGTGCCAAGGTGCCGGTGCCGAGATGGACGAAATGAGCCAGGCAGCCAGCGCGGGTTCAAGTACAAGCATTGATCAAAGATCAAGTTTAAGGGAGCGATTTCTGCCCGGTTGAGGGTAGAATTGTCACCAGCCAGTTGCTTTGTCAATTCTAACTGATGTGTTTAATCTGCCATATCCTGCAAGTGGTATGCATTTGGGCAAGACCTTGGAACGAGAAAATCAATCGAAGCACCTGGTGAATGCGAAGAATTTCGGATCATGTGGCCGTCGTTTGGGTTGCAGATTGGCACCTGAACGTCTACGGTTTTCAGTTGGACCGTTGATCCTCCGCGGCGCGAGTTGTGCTGCCAGTTGTGCTGCCAGTTCCAATGCAGATGCGATCAATTCAACTGACTGAGGGGATGGGCATTCTTGAAAATGACTTGAAATTGAAACCTACAGTGGACGTGTGATGAACATCTTCTCCTGAAGGCATCATAGAACACAATGAGTACCTATGACCCTACATCCCCGTGTTGATGCTCCAGTTTGTGCCAACTTTGTACAAGTCTTTGTACAGCGATGCTGGAACGTCAATGCAGATGTGAAAACCACGGCGTTTCGTTGTAACGCAGTGTTCCCCACATGATCTTTGGCGTGGAAGTTTCGGATGAATTGCATGGTTTGAAGAATTTGCCCACAAAGGACCAGAACCTGAGCGGAACCCAGAGATTCCAGCCTCGAACTGGTCAAGAAGAGGGAGACCACTGAACTGAAGGCCTCATGATTAAGACGCATCGTCCTGTATGCCGCAACCACTTCGGCTTTCTTCTCGGCAGGGCGAAATCTGCTTCGAAATGAAGGCTGTCCACTCAGCTGACGAGTGTCAGCTTTTGAGCGCGTCGCCGTTGTGCGTTTCCAAGGGAGGAACTGGAGAGGAATGCATACTGCATCAGGTGACTCAAAGAGGAATCGACATGATACTTGAACCTTAGGCTTTGTTGGCAAGCTCCAATCAGGGGGGTTGCGGGAACTTGCAGCACTTTTCGCTCCACGGGCCTCTATCAACACATCTAATAGATCCTTTCTCAGAAACAGATCGATCTCAGAATCTCCCGATTCACCTTCATCGGACCCCTTTTGGGGGAGAAAGGAAGGATTTGTCGGTCACCGGAGCATCTTCCGGTCATGCGGGCGTTCTGCGGAAGATTCTGGGAGTCCGGGAACTGGGACGACTTGCAGCTAAACGGGCGAAAGGACCACAGGTTTTGGGCAATCGCAAAAGGGAGCGATAGGAGCCGTTATGGGTCAAGTTAACTTGTTCAAGGACCCATGTTCACCCCCACCATGACAGCCTGTTCCCGGACCAGTATGAGTGGTTTTCAGGTTTCCATGTGAATCGACTCCAGGGTGGATGGAATCGACTCCACGTCCAGAGGTTCTTTGGACCCCAACGTCTTCACCAACATGGCGGTTGGACCCCAAGTCTGCCTTCCGCAGCTAAGGCCTGTTCGGATGGAACGGACAAGGGGCCTTAGATGAGAAGTCAATTCAAAGTCTTGAAAGGGAAGTCATATGACCTTTCAAGAAGACACTTTCAAGTAGATGACTTCAATCTTCCCATTCACATTCAAGTCTTCATGAGAATTCCCTTTTTGGAGCATGGCGATGGCGGCCAGGGGGGGTTTTCTCCGCTGAGTGAATCGCCATCACGGCCATGGCCTTACAGCCTTACCTCTCCTCCCGGCACCGGTCCGATCCAGGACAGCCTGGATGGGCATGGCCTGGATGCACTGAGAGCATCTCTTGCTTCTTCAGGGAGTGAGACAGAGAGAAGCCAATCTTTACCATGTGGTTGGTTCATGTTGGTTCAAGAGAGCCACAGAAGGATGAGAGTTGGACGTGGTTCGTGTTTTTTTTTCAGTTTTGATGGAACATATAGATCGAGAGTGATAAACAATGGAATAGCCAGAACGACCTTAGAATTTCAATTAGGATGATGAAACATTGGATTGCAGTTCGTTAATGGCCAGCCACTCTTCCAGTTTTGCCTTCAAGCACTCGGGCCATGAGAGATTTAGAGAGATTAATTATGCAAGGACATGATGCCCAGTGAAAAAGACACGACTTGTATAACGTTGTTTCAGCCTTCGCTTGGTGCCATGAAGCTTCCAGCAGCGGCAATCGCTGCCGCGTGCCTTGTGCGTCTCGTCCTGATTTCACGAGCTTTTGATGAGGCTTGTGAGGAAGACAGCTTGCTCCAAACTTGGCAAGAAGGAAGTGCCAGCCATGGACACATCGCCGTTGTCCAACTCAAGGATGACGCCCTTTGCAAAGGACGTGCTGCGAAGCCAGACTATCAGTGCTTTTCTCATGTCATCCTCCCAGAGCCAAGGGAGGCTGAATACGGCTACTGCCTCGATGGAGAGTACCATTTTTGTGGCGACAACCCGTCCTCATGCGATTCCACTCGGAGGCCTCCGCGCGTGGGTTAAATGGAGCTGAAGACCTTTTGGAAGATCGGAAGCACGTGGAACTTTGCTTGCTTGACCTACGACACGGCCTCGCCGATCAAGAACGTCATCGGAGCAGCTTGTGATGGCAAATCAACACAGCTTTGGGGAATCCCAACGGCTGCGGATAGACTTCATTTGATAGTGAACGGACTCTGCTTGACAGCTGTAGATGTTCCGGCCAATAACTTGACGGATGTCTTGCACAAGAATGTTGTGCTGGAGGATTGTGACTCGGGTTCCATGGCGCAACAGTTCCAGTGGCAGGACAACGGTATCGTCAAACTGGGGACTGACGACCTCCTTTGTTTGGACTGGGATGTTGCTGGCGTCCATGAGAAGGGGAATGTGCAGATGTACACATGCAATGGTCAGACCAACCAGATGTGGTATCAGATCCTACAGCGAGGAACATTGCTGACATCATTGATATTCAAACCAGGGAGAGTTGAAGACCGCTGCCTCTCTTACTATGGGATGAATGTGAAGGGTGGTGATTGCGAGACAGCTCCAAGCGTGTTTCCAACCAAGACACAACGTCATGCCCAGATGTTTGTCGAGTTGCTCGGGCGGTTGTTCTGCCTGACCGCGTATCCATTCAAAAACATCTTTTCGCGGAATGCCACGCTCAAGTTGATGAGGAAGAAGGAAGTGCACTTGAACCTGTGCGATGCCAGCAAGTCTCAAGCCTTTGAGATGACAACGAGGGCGCAGATCAAGTTGCAGAATGATCCGGGTCTTTGTTTGGATTGGAACGTCGGTGGCGTCTTTCACCGATACGACGAAATCTACCTCTTCGGATGCAACTCATATCCCAACCAACGCTGGATCCAGTATGTTACTCCGAGTTTGGGAGATAGCCAGTGATGTGCTTTTTTTGGGAGGTGCTCTTTTGGTGCCGCTCTGCAGAGCTCTTCTGAGAGGGAATATGATGGCTGTTATATATTATATATTACTAACAACTAGTATTGAGACGTAAATAGTGTGACTTGAGGGGGTGCGCGGGCTTAACTGCCTTGGTGCGTCGTGTTGCTGCCAAGATTGGCTGCACAAGCTAGCCTTGCAGTACCTTTGGTTTTGAGGAGTTTCATGTCATTCCTGACTCCAGACTAAAGAAATCAGACCTACAGTCCTACCAGATCGTTTGGTGTGCTTTTTGCTTCACTTCTGTTCGTGTCAGTATCGGACGCCGGCAGGCCAGTGCAATGCCGGGCCGGTTGGTGTAACGTCCGATGATCCAAAGCATTGATCCGACAGCGGATCGTCGGATTCTACCCGGACCGCCCGACGTGTTTGGATGAACCCCCGATTTTGATTGCCCAAAGCGGCCGCAGAAGTCGGTCGTGGCAAGTGGAAGGAAAGATGCGCCGTCCGTGCCACGCAATGCCACGCAGTGTCACAGACGGCGGGGCCGTGAAGTCATGCGAAGTCGATACGCATCGAGTTGTAGAACTCGTGATCCATTGTGCTGTTCTGCCATCAGAACCTGTTGCGGCATTCAACGTCTTTCTTGTGACATATTTATCATCTAATTATATAATATAGTCTATAATTGCCTAGATTCGAGTGTTGGTCCTTGATGTGCAGCAAGTGTTTTTCCCCGAAGACAGCGTAGAAGAGAATGAGTACTTGGACGAGTCCCCGATATCCCAGTTTGGACCCACTTTGTACAGCTGGAACGTCAGCACGAAGGCAAAGCCATGGCCTTTCTTTGCATTGCAGTGATATATACTGTAATACATAGTTATATACCTAATAAGAGCAGCCGCATTGAGTCAAAGGAGACGCGACTTCCTAGCATTGTTCAACACCAGAATGAGAGAGAGAGGGTCTCCTCAACGAAAGAGATATCTCAGTTTATGGCGTGAATCTCTGAACATCTCTGCAAGAAGAAAGGAGGCCATGTAACATGATGACTTTGCATTGTCCACCCAGAGTAGACGCAGTGAGACAAACTCCTGAACAGTTATAGGGCAAAGGTTTTTCTATACTGACTGTTCTAGTTTTTACAAGCTCAAACAAATTGTTCGGGTGGTCGCTAAACAGTCATACTGGTCAATAGGTAGATAGGCAGGTAGATTGCAGATAGAGAGAAGGGGAACAACGGCAAGAAACACACACACAAACACGCTTTCATCAAGAAGGCATTGTTTTGCAAGAAAAATCATTGATAGAATGAACCGGTTGGTTCCTTCACTTTCAATGCTTGCAACATTTGATAGCATGTTCATGCTTTTCGGCGTGAGCTGACCACTGACAAATGGGTGCACAGAAGGCCTCTGCGTCTTCGAAGGACAAGTTTTCTCGATGGTTTAAGAACAAGAAGAAGAGCCCGAGCGAGAAGAATGTTGGTCCTCCTCGCAAGAGTAAGGGCAAAGGCAAGGGCAAAGACAAAGGCAAGGGCGGCAAAGACAAGGGCAAGGGCGCCAAAGAGAAAGGCAAGGGTGGCAAAGGCCATCACAAAGTTCGCGAGAGCGACAAAGCTCTAAGTGGAAGACCTTCTTCAGTGAGTTTAAGTGCAGATGGCATTGGTACGGCTGGTGTTCTTTGGCCGCAAGGGGAAACGTTTTGTGAATGAGCACCACTTTTGTGAGATTCTATTGTTTGCTCCATTCACTTTAGAGGGACTCCTTGACGGGCGTGGATCCAAGACAGAAATGTGAAGAGTCCTTGTTCACAAAGGTCAACGATGAAATCAAATCGTTGTACACGTTGCTTCGGATGTTCGCCCAATGAGAGACGGAGTGGATCACCATGAATAAGGATCATTTAAACTGGATGAACAGCACGACAGACTCTTTGTTATAGTTATAAGTGTCCATGTTCTTTAAACCTGAACACCTTTTTTGCCAGGTTTTTGCAAGGGTTTCGACCCCTTTCTTTCGAGAGCGGGGGACTGTGAGAGTGCAGTGTGTTTATTGTGTTTTTAGTGTTTGGTATCATTTGATGCTCAAGATATGCAAAGATGCTTGTTTTCACTCTAGGGCAGAGGATACCACTCTACTCTAGCATGGGGCCTGGGTTTTGGTTTTCCCAAAATTTTAGGTAAATGCTTCAGTGGTAGCCCCTCTCCGTGTAAACACATATATATATAATATGTTCCTGCTCTCTCTATATGAACAAATATATTATGTATTCCTGAATCAGGGTAATTTTATTGTTTTGGAAGCAGCAAGCAGTCATTCAGATGGTTTTGAACAAAATAGTTAGAAAATAAGCAGGCCATAAAAGTGTCTCTAGATCTCTGCGTATAATTATGTTTAGATTTGGACATATTTTAGATATACGCTTTTATGTTACAAAAGATTCTCCATAGATCTCTGCAGATAATCAGTTTTTAGATTTAAACAACTATATAGAATCCTTGTATGTTAGAAACGTTATTCTAGATTTCTGCGGGTAAGAGCTTGCATTTTCAAAGTTTTCCTCTGGATCTCTGGGAAAGTAGATATCCCTTATATATGTGTTTTCATGAAATGAAAGCTCTTGAACGAAACGTATGTTTATTGATATGGCATGTTTAAATTGACATGACCATTTCCAGAGATCCAGAGGAAAGCTATTGAAATGAAAGCTTTTATATATTTTTATTGTAGAAATGATTTATCCCCTTAGAGGGAAGCTCTTGAATTAGAAGCTTGTACATAAAACAACTTTAATATAATATGTCTATATTATTTCCAGTGATTACTGTAAATAAACAAAATCTAACTATTTACTTCAAAAAGAGTTTTATTAGTCTTGTTCCCAGCACTCCCAGGGCAAAAACATATTGTAAAACACGGGGTTTTGTAGCATGTGTTTTCTTAAACTAAATAGACTAGAACTAGAATAGAATCAAATTGGATTTGAGTTAGAGCTAAGATAGAGCTGAATTAAAATCGAATTTCAACTAAACTTGTATTGAACTATAACTAGCTGCAAGGCCCAAAGCCTGAAAGCTCAGGTCCACGGGACCCGGGGGCTCCTTGACTCCCTCAACGGAAGTGGGGAGTGTCAACCAGTGTGCTTCCCAAGAGCACACACCCTTTGTCGGTTTGGGACACTTGTTTCTGCGGTGTGATTCAAGTGGTTTCCGAAGCCATGGACTTGCAGGCCGCTCTAGGCCTGGCTGACCGAGTGTTGAATGACCCTTTGCGGTCTGAGATCAAGGGGCTGTTCAGTGGTCTGCAAGCTTCGTCAGTCTTGCCCCGGCTCGGTGACAGAACTACGTGTGTTGGCCATGTGCTGGAAGTTGGATCTGATTGGATTTCTGTTGCTGCTTTTCCTTTCGCCAGAATAAGATGTAAAACGCTTGAGCTTCAAGATGCACAAGTCGAGGGTGCTTCGAAATTACAAAGCCGAAGCAAAAGCAACAAACATTGAATTGGAACTACAGCTTACACAGTTTCATAACAATTGCATGTAAATTGGAAGGTATCATTACAGTTTCATGTCAAGCTGATTGGGCATGCAATTGGCAACCACATTGATACCAATCAGAAGTTAATGCACAGACTTGTCCATGGAGATTTCGACAAGGACAAAGGGAGTGGTGGGCTCAGACGCTTTCATTGTAAGAGCAAAGAACATATGCCTTTAGGTGAGACTTAGGCTCGCATACTTGAAGGTTGAGCGAAATAGTAAGAACACAGATGGACCTAAATAGGAACACCAATAATAACCTAGGAAAAGCCAAAAAAACACAAAAAACTTGGGAAAACCAAAAATAAGAAACAACACAAAAACAATTCTGGGGAAGTCTTGAGGAAAGGGGGGGGTCCAGCCAAGAGTCTCTGATAATTGTTGTGTTTGTTGTTTTTAATTGGCTTTCCCAAGGTCTTTTAAGTGTTTTTTTGTGTTTGTTTTCCAGTGCAAAGGACATTGAGGCAGCTTTCACAGACACATAGCATGAATGCAGGCCACAGTGGGAAGTTTATAGCACATAGATGGAAGTAGGCAACAAAAACACATAAAATACGCACTCTGGTGATCCCCTGTTCTTTTTCTTTCAGCCGCATGTTTGGTTTGGGGAAAGTTGTGGCATTCGCTGTGGGCTTTCGGTTTCAGTTCGTTGAGGTCAGCGATAGCTTGATGCACAAGTTGATGGCCACCAAGCAGCGCCTCCTCGCGGGCAACGCTGAGGCGGCTCGTGCTGGTGCTGCTCGCGCTGAGCCTGGTGCTTGGTCAGCTGCCAATGCAGAGAAGAGCACGAGGAAGAAGGGAGGTGAGCAGGGCTGAAAGTGAGCAGGGTTGAAAGAAAGAGTATAGCATCTGTTGGTTGGGTATTACCTGTAACAGTCGCTGAACTATTGTTACTATTTTAAGAGCAAGGCCTTTACAGATCATCATCGTCGTTGTCATCATCATCATCATCCACTTTTAACTGGCAATACGATGTATATATAATATATAACATATATATATATATATAAATAATAGATAGAAAAATATATAATGTATATATATATTGTATAATATATATATAGTATATAGTTGCCCAATCTCTGGGTCGGTTGGGTTGGTTGGGTTTTATGGTTTGTTATTTGCAAATGTACTTGGATGAATGGGAGCTATCAGATTCATGGACACTGCCCAGGTGATGGAAAGGGGAAAGGAAAAGTGGGAAAGGGGAAGGATGGAAAAGAGTTCCTTGGTGACGAAACATGTTTTAAAACCATTTTGCTGTCCACGTTTGTGTGTTTTGTTTGCGTCCTGCGTCCAAGATGTGCTTTGTGTTTTGTCCCAACAGCGACTGAAGACTGGCTGGCCAGTCTTGCTGGCGTTGATTTGAAAGCACAGTCTTCTTAAAACACCTCAAAACTCAAAGTGGTGGGACATCTACCTAAGATTGCGGACATCTACCTACCTACTAACTACTACCCTTCTTTTCTGCGGGCCTGCCCATGCAAAAGCCATAAAGACGGGCTATTCTGAGGAGCCGCTACAAGCAACTCGTGCCCGTGGTCCGGGAGGAGTTGGTGGCTCTCAACCGGCAAATCGCTTCCCACGCCCAGGCCAAGGATTTGGCCGCGACCCGTGCCACGTTGGAAACGCTGGAGTCCAAGGGTTGGGCCAATGGACATACCTATGCGGCTGCGGTTCATGCGCTATGTCGCTGTGGGGATTGGCGTTCAGCTGAGGAAGCTTTGGCACGAGCAGAGAAAGCTGGCCTCTTCAATCGTGGGGCTGGCGCTGCTTCTGGTTTGATTACAAGAGCCTCTTCATTGATTCGGCACTTTCCATGTTTGTATTCCGTTGCGTCGCGCAACCATTCACACTCACATTTGAGAATCATGTAGTGATGGAGGACCATGTTATATTGACCATTGATGTTGTAGACAGTGGTTGGATCAGATGAGGATTGGACTGGACCAAATCTATGGTTTGGGTCAGCCCACGCTGATTAGTTCAGAATGGAAAGAGGTAGGGGGAAGACCCTGACCATTCCGAAAAGGTCCCAAGGGTCGACGGACTGTCCATTGAGAAGACCTGCGGAGGAACGTCCATGATTCGCGGATATGTGGAATGTGCGCGAGATCTGGGCAAAGCCCGGGAGCTGTTGCAACGGATGGAGAAGGAGAAGGTTTTGGCCTCAAGGCCCAACGTGAGAACTGCCAACACCTTTCTTCGTGGCTGTTTGATCTTGGGCTCAGTCCATGATGCTGAAGCCTTACTGGAAAGGATGACCACCGTTTGGGCAGCCCAAGAGGAGTGGTATAAGACCCATGGCGGAAAGCCGGATGCTTCGACCTACGAGCTTGTGGTATCACTGCTTTGCCAAGCCTTGCGGTCTGCTTCACTTTGCAGAAAGTCATACTTTCACTGTCACCATCATTCTTTCCCGAAGTGACTTCAAGTGGCGGACTTTATGGACTGATACTAGTAGATGCTGCGGGACTTCAGATTGTTCCTTAGGTATTACCGAACCATTGCATTCCCATGGCGTGACTTCGGAGTCCTTGGTATGATTGATATGGCCAAGGTACACAGATGCCCGTCGGATAGCTCTTCAAGGCATCAAAGAATTGGGCGCCAGTCCCGGCTCCGCCGCTATGTTTGCTTCCATCGCACGTGCTGCCATCATTTGCGGCAACGAAGATGCGACTGCACTCAACTTGAAACGTGCGCGAAAGATCCTTTCTGAGGAAGCAGACTTTTCTGAAGCAAAGCTCTCCAGCTGCTCAGCTGCGATGTTCGTTCATGCACCAAGTCAAACGCCTGCCGACTTGGTGCTTTCTTTATGTATTTCTTTTTACACCTTTCATGGTTGTATCATAGCCCCCTTGTATTACTGTACATAATTCCCAAAACAGTGTGCACACTACCATACCCCACCATACACTCCCACATCACCAATTACCATACCACTCATTTACAAGCGTGATCTTCCTTCGTACTGAGAGTTTGGGGTCTCAGAAGTCGGGATCCGCAACTCGTCCCACGCACCTCGTGTGTCGCGCAGGCGTCGCAGGCAGTGGAGGCAAGCGAGGCACGCAGAAGTGGAACCGCGACGAGGAGCACGATGCCTCGGTGGCGGATCGGAAAGCTGCACGGGCCAAGAGCTTGGAGGTCTTTCAAAGCCACCGACAACGTCCCTGGGAGAAGTTTCGAGTGAGAGAACTACAAGGATGAAACAGTTTCGTGTGTGAAGACCAGGTTTGTCCAAGCAGGTGTTGATGCCAAGATGACACAACATGACACAAGAGAAAAGGACACATGTTCAGTAGCCATTCCTGAAGTGTCCTGAGTGGAATCTTCGGTATGAACAGATTTATGAACAGGAGTCACGGATTTTATGGTTGGATGTGCTTGCACCATGTACTCATGGACTCATGATCCTGCAGTAAGGTGAAATCCTTTCGGACCTCAAAGAGGTCGAGGAGTTCATGGCTTCACACCAAGTGCCATCAGAGAGCTCCAAGAAAAAACGGAAGGCAGAGGCGACAAAGAATTCGCTCCGTTCTGGCATTGATTTGGGGAAGTTGTACGTGAGGACGCGGCGTTCGTTCAGTACTGTCACCAGGGTCAGGTTGTTGCGCTGACCATTCAAAATCGTTCAACTCTTCACATTGAAAGGAGACCATCGTTGAATCTTCACATCTTTGAATTCTTGAGATTCAATCATGGCCGCTGCTGAACCTTCACTGCTGGAAGAACACCCCCTGAGGACCTTGTGCTTTGAGGATTACGGTGACACCGGCAATGAGGAGAGCGACTCCTCAGCAAGCAAGATGTGCCGGAGGCTTTGCCACAAATTTGGGCTGGAGAGTGGGAGCTCCATGGCGGAGAACGTCCTGTCACCCTCATTTGCCTTGAATATCTCTCTCTTTGATTTGATTGTATTTGCAATGTGTTTTTCTCTTTAGGCCAGGGGTTGAAGAGTTTTGTCTACTTGTTTCTTGGTTGAGTCCACTCAACGAGTGTTGTTCGATTAGGCCAGGCGTTGTTTTTTGTCCGTTTTTCATAGGCCATGCTTGAATGGCTTCAGGCAACACTTTCAGTCCGTCTTCGAGCCGCCCAAGAAAAAGCGAAAGAAGGATCACCAGGGGAAGCCAAACAATGGCACTCAGAGGCTGGCTCTTTTTCACTGCTGGTGCAGTTGGTGTGGACGGATCGCAGATGGTCGAAGTATTTCTGAAAACTCCCCCATCTGAATGGCCGAGAGGATATGAGAGGATTCAAGAAATCGTTGTTTTGTATGATTGGGCCTGATGATATGCATCCAAAAAAGATTAACAGTAGGGAAGGAGGATGATACTTTTAGGTTGACATCATATAAAAAAGGATTTTAGCTTACTGTAAAAAAGCATCAGGATAGACCAGAGAACATCCGAGAGACCCACCGACCTGCATGACCCCGCTACTGCCGCGCTGGGCAGGTTCGATCCTCGCCGGCTCTTTTCGGGAAGCCGGAGCTCTGGAAGTCTGCATTTGGAGATCTGCAGCGGCTCAGGGGAATGGCTCTCTTCACAGGCAGATAATCATGGATGGGTAAGACGGGCTTCTATCAGTGCCTTCAGATGCGAACGGCGAAATGTTAGACAGTGTGTTGACAGTGTGTTGTGTAACTATCGCCTGTTTCAGTTTGCATTGCAACCATGGCTGCCAGATTCATCGCAGAATCGACGAGTCTTGTGTCACCTTCTCTAACCTTTTTGATGACCAGGCCCTTCGAGATGCGAATACCAATTGGATGGCCTGCGAGTTGCGCTTCGACCGCTCTGCGCGGTGTTTTCAACGCTTTGCCCTGCGAGGGTTGGCGGAGAACGTGGGTCTCATCGTGGGAGATGCGCAGAACGCCTTGGAGAACCATTTGAAGAAAGGCCTGGCCTTTGAGGGGGCAGACCGATGGGGTGGTTGAACCTACGAGTAGCCTACCCAGATCTCTTCTGTTTCCTCTATAGACTGGATAGCCAAGAGCGCAAGAGTGCATCTTGTTCAAAGTCTGACAAGAGCCCAAGAGGGAATGATATTCACGATCGATTGATAGATACATTGCTGCCCCAAACGGTACGTACCGTATCGTACCGTACTATTCTGCTAAGACATTGGCTTATCGTGGGACTTGGTAGAGGTTTGCTAGTTGCGAGGCTGTTGCTCCAATATCTTCATCAATCACCCGGAGCCTTGGATGTGCAGATCATTTGGTTGCAGAAGATTGCAAATAGCTCATGGATTCATTTTTCTGTAAGACTTTTTAGGGAAAGCAATTTTTGAGATGGTGCAAAAGATTGGAACACAGATCTGAACGTTTCATGTGTGATGTCAGAACTTTGCAAGATTGAATCCAACAGCTGTGTGCCACACCTGCAGTGCTGAAACATGACATGCGATGACAGAGCACTGCACTCCAAAGGAGCCACCTCATCAGACGGATTTGGATCGAGCGACGGCGAGCCTCTCCGTCGACCCGACAGACCCGACGTCCTCGTCCTCGTCTGGCGAAGCGACTCATCTTCTGACGCAGCGCTTTCTCCAAAATGCTTGTGCTGCGGTTCTACAAGAGGAGGTGCACCCGTTTTCAAGAGTTAGTCACTGTGGAGAGGTTTGTTTGTTTTGATATCCGTTGCAAGGCGGAAAGACTTATATAACATCTGAACTTGATACATGACATTAGAAAACAGATGTTCTGGTGTATGTGTTTTCCCCGAGACATGTTTGTTTTTGTTCACCAGTGTTTTGCTCCTGCCTCTGCTTTTGCAGTCTTTGTTTCTTCTTTTGCCTTTGCCTGCTTTGGTTTTGCTTGTCCTGCGTATGTTTTGCTTCTGCTGCTGGTCGCTATTTGATCACGTTTGGTGGAAAGAACTGTTATGTTCGGTGAGTTGTGTGAGCCCCCCCGAGGGTTTGCGGAGGAAGGGGTCATTCCAATGCAGCAGACTCTTGGTTAGCCAGGGTAGAATTTACGGAAGGAAGGAGCCATGCACTCGGAGTCTTGCGAGCAAGGAACCACTCTACCTGAGTCACCCCTATCTCTCCTCACTCCTCTCACCAAGCAAGCAAGTAAGCAAGGCCTAAAAAAGCTCTATATAAATAAGAAGTTCTCTCCTCCTCCCCTCTCCTCCTCCCTTTCGGTCAGAGTCTCTTGCTCCTGTTATTTGTCTTACTGCTACCGCTTCTGCTTCTAAAACACACCCAGCAAAATCCTAAAACTGTCCGAAAAATCCACAAACTATATTTACCCACAACTTTTTAAGCACCAATTTGGTTGTTCGCGCTAAATTGGCTCGATTTGCTGAGGTTTTCAAAGTCCTTTCATGCTGAAATCTAACCAGGTGTTCCCGCTCGGAACATGTGGGTCAGGATCAAGTCCTGCAAGTTGGTTAAGCTTCGTTTGGTGCGAAGCATGCAAACAGAAGTAGTTGAGATCAGTTAAGAGCCACAGGCAATGCTTTGTTGTTTATTCTGGGCTCATCCACTTGAGTTCATTTGTTTGTGATATAATACTTCCGCCAAACAAACCCATCCCGAAACCAACCTAGTTCCAACTGCTGTGTGTTTTCTCCAGCTTTGGCTGAATGTTCGTCGGTAATAGTATGAGAGTCGAGTGCACCAGTTCGCAGTCCACCTTTCAACGAGTCTCGTTGCTTCGTCAGGGAGTTCTCACCATTTGCACCGACAGCCTGCCATATGGCGAGTGGCTATTGAATGCGCCTAGCATGAGGAAGCAAACTTTCTTGTTCATTTGTTTGCCTTGTACTTGCACAGCACTCGGTCGCTTGCAACATGTTCAATCAGGCCTTTGCTTCGCAGCCTTTGAGCAATCTCTTTCAAGATGCTCTCAGAGGCCCGAGAATTCCGAAAGGGTCAGGACATAAGACAGGAGATATATGATAATTGTATAATTATATAACGGAAATATATTCGGTTTGCAGGGAGGTTTACATGTCGCTACAACAGTCCAAATCACGTGTTGCTCATGGCTTTGTGCCTTTTCTATGGCTCTGAGCATTTGTGGATGACGCGACTAGCACTGACACAGGTAGGGCTGGAAAAGCTGGCCGGGTCTCGGGCCCCAAATCTGGCATCAGCCTGCGGAACGAAGCTCCACCATTGGAGGTCTGTGGAGCAGTGTACCGCACCAAGGGTGGTGGCGCTGGGGGCGGAAGCTACTTCCAACGTTTGAAGGAAAGCGAGAAAGGCTCCAGAGATGATGCTGGAGCAGAAGCTTGGCTTGAGGAGCTGTTGTTGTTTTCTTCTCCAACTCTGTAGCCACCGGGGCCAGGTGTGTCGGGATGGCAGCAAGCATAGCAGATCATTGATTTGCAGCATAGAATAATGTTTCTCATTTTGCTCCAATGGGTTCAGCCTTCCAAGGACGAAAGATACTACCTTTGTCTCAAGAAGAAGAGCAGTCCGACTGGCGAAGCCTTGTGAAAATGAACATATTGTCTTGCAGTCTGTAGCAGTCTGTTGTTCAATAACTTCCATGATTGATTTGCTTTGGTGTGCAGTTGATGACATGAATCTCTAGCTAACAAACATGGTTGGATTCTTTTTGGTGAGTCGAGGGAATTGATGTAAAGACGCCAACTTACTTTGGATTTGCCATTTGATTGATGGCGCACCTCATCCCTCGCCGCAACCACTTGGGCTGCGTACGTCTCCGTCTCCGCTGCTCGTCTCCTCCCTGCTTCTTCGAGGGTCGTCGACTCAGCGGACTGAACAGCGGGAGCAGAGCCAACAAGCGACGACTGGTGGGGCGCGCGACTGGCGGGGCGCGCGTCCCGGGGGTTCTCCTAAGGGCTACGACTGGCTCGGGATGAGAAGCCAAGATGGGAGCAGATTGGGCTGTGCTGTGCAGTTGTGGCCTCAGGAACAACTTCCAACCCTGCGAACCGGCCGAACTAGGAGCCAACCTGGCTGGTTGATGTTCGGTTGATGTTGATTGGATTCTGTGGTGGTTCGGTTCAGTGGCAAAGCATTTTGTTTGACGTTCATGCTTGACCAATCATGTAGAGAGTGGAAGGAAGGGGTAGGCCCGAACTCGGCTCCGCTGTGAACTCCGACAGGCGGGTTATGGTTTGAAAAGACAACTCATACCGATACCGTATAGTAGCTGCTGTGCAAAGAAAAGACGGTGAGGGGTCAGAATGGGTTACGACGCGACAAGAAGAGGAATGGATTGAAGTCTTTGATGCTTGCGGGTTGCGACAAGGCCCAGTATCACCTAAGGTAGCCAGGAACTTTTAGACTCTTCAATCATCTTCAAACTGGAAGAAGGATTTCGGGCACACTGCTGCGCCTGCCATTTGTAAGCAATTGACCTGATGTTTGCCTGGGGGCCCCTGTTTGTCCAACATGCTGATGCGAAGATATCACACCCCTATCAATTGGCTGATTGGTAGTTGGAATTGGGGCAAGTCCAGAACCCCAAAGCCATGAAAAGCCAGAGTTTCTGTTTTCCACCATCGTCTCCGTGGGTGTCCCATGTTTCCCCTGTTTTTTTCCTAATCTCCAATGTTGCTTGACGCCGGACACAAGTGTAGCTGGTGAGCTGCTCAGCCTCAGAGGCCAGCAACCTCAGCAACTGGTTCTGCGAGCTGATCAGGCCCGCTGTGCAAGGGATCAACGGCGTTATGGAGGGCCGTCATGATGGTGGGGTGATTGAGGTAGGCCACCCCTGGTGGAAGCTGAGAGTCTTACTCCGGCGCCCCTGAGAGTCTCACCAATAGCGATGGCCTCCACCCTCGTAGCAATGGCCTCCACCCTAGTAATACCCTAGTAGAATCTGCTAAACACTCCAAAACTCTCTTGCAACGGCAGGCGCCTTTGAGCTCCTCATGTCGTCCATCGCTCAGTAGGACGGCAGAACCTCTTCTGCAAAGCTTTTGGTGCACTCCAAGGCTCCCTGCCAGGCAGGCTGGGGCTGCTGGAGCCCGGGCAGCGCGGAAGGCGGGCACTGTTCCGTTGTTCTCTCTCCGGTGGAACAGGCTTGGATATGTAGGGCCTTTGAAAAACCATGGAAAACCCATTGAGATGAACAGTGCACATAGCGAACCCTTTGTTTCAACATGCTGCAATTCTGGCGCATGTGCAAATCAGTGATGTGCAAATCAGTGAAACACATCATTCTATTTTGGGGAAGCTCAGCAAAAGGCAGGCCAGTCCATGCATTCACAGTCAGACCAACAGGCCACCCTTGTTGCATGCACCCCAATGAAAAAGCAAACACAGTGCGACGCATAGTGGGGATCCAGATTTCTTTTGACTTGGTTTGTCGGCAAACTCTCTAGCAATGAGATGGTGTTTAAATGTTTGCTGTCAAAGGGGCTGACCAATGTGCTCAAAACCGAACCAAATCATTCTGCTGAATGACTGTCCTAGTCTTGTCCCAGCAGGAGGTGTTTTGTAGATACCAACAACAGGTCTCAAGAAAACCTTCTTGATCCACTATTTAGCGACCATGTCTCGAATCTGAGGCAATAAGCTTCCAGAGCTTTGCGTCAAAACTCTGTGCTCACTTCAATTGCCCCACTTGTTCTCCTTGAGGCTGTCAATGTCCTCCGCAGCTTACAGCAAAGCACGCCCGCTGGCGCAGGCGAGGATGTGTCAGTCACAGATTCACAGATTCCCAAAGACCCTCCAGGACGCCCATCCTGTGAGCGGTGAGCAATCGGAAGACCTTTTGTACATCTCAATGACCAATTTGCACAACTGAAGCCAGACTGTCCCTATGAGACCTCACACCTCTCGAGACCCTTCGCTTAGACTGTCAAATCCACATGGTTCTCATGGGATGTCTTGCACGTTCTGACCCAACTCTCGCAGGTGTTGAGATGACATCCCTGGTGGAGGCCGCAATCAGTGGGTGATTCAGCGAGTAATCCTGATTCTGAATTTCGAATTGTTCCGCCTGTTGCCATTGGGCTCTGTGTTGTCTCCTTTTCGGACGGCGCTGATGCATTGAACATGTTTGGCTTCGGCAGTCAGTGGCTCAAAGGTGACAAGATTGAAAGTTGCCAGCAAGAGCAGCTTTTGGGATCAGGAAGTTGTCAGATTTCAGGAAGCTCAGCCTGCAGCCACAGCGCAGGCATCCTTGTGGAATAGGTTTTCAACTGTTGAGCCTTTGATTGGAAGAACAAGAAGAAGAGGATTGATTCAATCATCCTACGATGGAACGTGTTGCATCGACATTTTCTTGCCCAATCTTTGCAGCGGTCTGCGGCCTCCTCGTTGGATGGCTTGGTGCTTTCCTTTAATTTAAGAATTTGTGCTTGGCACTTGCCTCTTCCTCAAGACAAAATCACCAACTGGAGAGTCGTGCAAAGGAGAGTCGTCGTGCGGACAACTTGCAGCACTTGGTCATGATGCGTGGTGACAAAGAGCCCATGGAAGTGATTTACCATTGAACTCCATGAACTTACCGTTAACTTGTGTGTTTCCACAAAGTGATGGAAGGTGGTTGTTTGCCCATGTCAACAACCATTGACTCTTTGGTGGTTCAAACCGTTGGAACAACGGTCTCATGGTGGTCGTTGGACTCGAAGACGGGACGATACACCTGACGTGGTTTGCATGTCGATGGTCGACAAGAGGGAACGGTTTGCATCATGGAAGAGATTCGACTAGTTGTCTTTTTAGGGTCACAGAGCATCCCAAGCTGGGTGAGCGAAGCTGGGTGAGATCAGAGAAACATGCTCCAATACCAGCTACACCATACTGTGCGTGGAGGCACAATAGAGGAGAAGCGGTGAGGTGCATGGATTATGGATTGCACCACTGCCGCTTGCCCGTCAAAACGATCGTTAGGTATCCCAAAGCCCAGGTTGTTTGACAAGCTTTTGCGCTGACAAGGCATCAACGATGCATCATAAGTCATAAGCATCATGAAATGTGAAATTGTTTTGCAACGCTGTGGGTTGGCAACCTACAGGTGACCACCATCAACCAACTCTTCTGACTCGCAACACTCAGTACATCAATAAAACATGCAATCGATAATTGATCAGCAGGAATTTGGTCCTTTGACGCTGTAGGTTTGCAATGACAGTTCATCGCAAATGCATTATAAGCATCATGAGCTGTGCGCTGCTGATAACGCCTCTCACTTTACTTCACAGCCTGGTCGTTTCGGTGTACCAAAACTCACCTTTGCTGACTGCCAGTCTACAGACATGCAATCAGTTGTTGATCATTAGCACGTTGACTCTTCAGGCTCACAATCAACAATTCATTCAACGCATCATAAGCATAATGAAATGTGAAATAGATTTGCAAGGCTGTGGGTTGGCAACCCAGAGATGACAACCATCAACCAACTCTTCTGACTGGCAGCCTACAAAAGCATACAACTGCTTACTAGAACATTGTTTCTCTCACGCTGCAGGCTCGCAAGCCATAGTTCATCGAACATGCATAACCAGCATAATGATTTGCAAACATGTGTTTGCAAGGCTGTAGGTCAGCAGCCTACAGTTACAGTTGACAACCATTGATCCAAAAAACTGCTGATTGGCAGCCTACAGGCCATCAGCAAAGTATCCAGCAAACCGTTACTAGGAATTTTGGCGCAGAACATCAACTAACCACAGAATAGAACTTGATCTCTGAGGATAACTAGGCAGTGTAGGTATCCCATGACAGCTTAGTGTTTTCTACTCGGTTCTGCAACAGCTTAAGAGGCAAATCTGGGAAAGCAACTGGCAGCTTGATGGTTTTGTTTGATTTGTTCTTGAAGCAAAATAGATCAAAGCCGTAGATGCTTGGATAAAACCGCATCAAGTGCCGCCGCGCCGCTGAAACCAGCGGAGGCTTTGCCCTACTTTGGCCTTGCCCAGCTGATCGATTGTGCGAGTCACTTTGGTCAGTGCTGGGCTCAGCGCAGCGACGAACGCAGCGGATTCTGAGCGGTGATAGCTGGTGACAACGATGGTCCACACTCAAACGCATGGGCCAACGTGGATGGTGCCCCTGTGAAGACCATCTTCCGAATACAAACAGGTGGTTGTCTATTTCCAACAGGTGGTGAGTCGGAGGGATGTTGGAGTCTTAGTGAAGAAAGTGTTTCCGTGGGACTCCACCGATGTTGACCTCCATCGATATGGACCGAAGTGCCAGGTGGGTCATCAGTAGACTCTGTTGGTGCTGCGCAAGACCATGTTATCATACATGCATCATACAATACCAAAAAAATCACATAGAATTACAATCAATTCGACATTAATTTTAATCATTGGTACATTTAAAAAAATACAATCCAATCTAAGTGCATCTAGCTGATCCCCACAGTTGTGCTAACCAGGCGTGGACGGGTCGTTGGTCCTGTCGCTGCTGAAGTGGCTGCAGAGGCCGCCTCTGGAGATAAGGAGAACCCGTGTCACTTGGGAGAACCGGGACGGCTGGACCAAAAGGAACCATCCAAATGCAGCACCTTTTCCTTCGCACTCGACGTGACAGAGGAACAGACGATTTGAGCTAAGAATTCATGCTTTTGAGCTGCGATGCTGAAGATGCGGAAGTTGTACTTTATGAAAACCAGCCATCTTTCAGAGGAGCATTGTTTCTTCACCTTAAATTGGGTGGAGAAAAGATGGTTGCATTTTCTTGTTCCAATTCATGGTTCACTCTGGGTGCGCTGAGTGGAGTGAGTGATGCTATTAATGCAAGGTAGACAGATTACATTTCCAGCACCATTGAAGGATCATAAGTCAGAGAGCCACAGACATGGCTGCGTGAAACTCTACTTCTAGCTCAGGCCTTGTGGGGAAATCGTGAGGGCTCCAAGGATTTTTGTCGAACGCGTTTTCTTGTGCCAGATTGGTCGACGCTTGCGCCGCTCGGAAGAAGGCCGCTGACCGCTGATCTGCCGAAAGATTGGAGACTGTCGACCCGAACAAGATTCTAGGGAACCTAATAGTGACGGCCTCCAACCTAAGATCTAGAGCGATGCCCTCCAACCGCAACCTAAGAGCGATGGCCTCCAACCTACTAGCGATGTTTGTACTGATATGTTGCAAACCTGTGTACAATGACCTCATCTCATCAGGCTACCAGACCATATTCTGTTCAACAAAGCAAATACAAATGTGTCATTGTGCATGCAGGCTATTGGGATGTTTGATGTGATGGCAGGAGCCGAAAAAACGGGCCTCTCCGATATGGCTCGAAATTTGAACGCCAAGGAGGTGCGCCTGAACGACCATGGCAGGTTTGTATGCAAAAGCCTAAATAGGTGCTAAGCCTTGAAGCTGTCACGTGTGCAAGTTCTGGCGTTACTGATCCAACTACAGTCTGTCTTATAATAATATTTATTGTAGTATAATAATGCACTGTAATTGGTCCTGGAATCATTGCATGATGTGAAAAAAACTTGTTTACTCGAGCCTACATTGTGCCTCCAGAGCATTCCGGCCACCTAAGCCAGGTGACGACGGCCTTCTATGCATTCTCCAAACTGTCTCCACAGATGCCCGAGGACAGACTTTCAAGCTCTTGATGTGAAAGCTTCATAGCTTTGGAGTGTTCTTTCGCAGTGAAGTGTGCTTGCTTGGACATCTGACCCTTCTTCAGATGAAATGACAAAAACTTCTCACACACAAAACGCCGCTTTCTCGACGTTTTTCCTTCAGTATCGTGCTTTCTACGATGCGGTGGCTGATGGCCTGGTTGAGAGGCGCTGGGAACTGGAAGGCGGGGTTCTAGGGCCGGGCCATACTCGTTTGGAGACGAGAATCCATTTGGACAGAGAACTGGTTTGGACACGTAATCTTGAGAAGATCTTGCTCCTAGTCCCAGTTGTTGAAATCTGAACGGGGTGTTGCTTTCGATTGAGAGGCATGAAGGCTGCGCTGATTGGAACTGCGCTGGCAGATACGGAGTGGCTGCAAACGCACGTTTAGTGTCGAGCATCTCCGCACATGAAGTTGCAGTTTGGGTCAAGAGCCTGTCCAACTGTACCTCAAGTATCCTCAAGTTATCTCGTGGAACGGAGATTTGACATGTTCTCCTTTCAACACCATTGGTTGTAGCAGGGGAACAACCACCCAATCCGGACCCACAGTGGGGCATACCAGGAGACGCGCTTGTCGGATGCTCTCCCTGCCGTCGTGAAGCCAGTCCTGAGAGAGTTGGCTGAGTCCCAGGAGGCAGCAACAAGCGCGGAAACATGCGGAAACGCTTCGTTGAACGAGTGATATGAGGAGATGTCAGGAGGGTGAGACATAGTGAGTGGGTGCGCATGATAGCGTAAAATGAAGTTTGATAGAGAATGATAGAGTCCATCCTGGAGTGAATCAACCTGAAGCAATGAAGAGGTTCGTTGATGGTTTCCTCCACAACAGTATAGCTCGTTCCTTCGATGACAGTCTGTTGAACCTCCCCCAAAAGCACGGTGATTCACGAGTCAGTTGGATTCGACGAGGGCAGCCCAGAACTCATTTTAAAGACATTTGCAGCCCGAACTTCTAACTTATTGCTTGCTTTCGAACTTCGAGCTTTGGTCGTGAGACTCGAAATAGCCCACTGAGAGACCGGTTGTCGCAACAATGCTAGAGTTCCGAAAATGCTTTGCAGCTCCTTGGTGTCCCATCTTCTTGTGATTTCCGTTTCCAGGCACGCGACGCCATGGGCGCGGACGAGCTACGCTTTCTGGCGAGGGATGCCTGGAAGGGCTTTCTTTCACATGGACAGGGAGATGAAACGCTTTTGATGTATGGGAAATTACGTTGGCGCTTGAACGTGATTCTTTGTTTTACTTGTAGATTTGATTGTATAATTTGAAGACCCTGGCCGCTGGCCCATAGACCTCAAGAAGCAAGAAATCAAGTTCTCCTTACTTGCTTTACACCCAAATCATCTAGAATCTGTGTTGGCCAAACGGCCAACCATCCACACATCATGTGGGTCGACAGAGGGAGAAAGTAGCTGCAGTCCTGGAGTCTCAAAGGTCTCTGAAGTGCCCTCAGAAATGGGTGAAACAGAGCTCAAGAGACAGGTACACGCAGGACCCGTGTTTGAGGGGTACTTCAGTCGACTATGACATACACCTCTGGAAAGAACTCTCTCCACACCCACACACACACACACACCTCCGGATTCAAGAGTCCTGTGGACGGCATCTTCCTCTCGAAGCCATATTTCATGTGTGTGTGATACTGATACACAAGGTCTCACTATGTTTGATAGTGATCTCAGCAGATGGCCCAGTTGCTACATGGAGCTCCCTCGAGCTTCGGTTTTCACTCACAGATCATCTATACCAAGTAGATCCAATAGTTGGGCAGCTTAGATCCATGGCACCTGCAGATGATTCGATCGTTCACCGGTTCTCTCCACCTTCAGATCCATGCGGCGGTGCGCTTGCCCGAGCTGAGCGCTCTACAGGTCGAGGCGAGATGCGCATGCCGGTTCCCAACGCCACCAGTGTCCATCAAAAGGGGGGTTGTAATGATGGGTATACGCTATAGGCCTTGTTCAAAAACAGTGATCATTGTTCATTGACATGTAGGTAATAGGACAGAATTAAGGTATCCCAAGGTAATATAGATGATTTCAGCACCACTTCGTTTGTGATAATTATATGTGAACTCTCAGTTGAAAGCAGCAATTTTGGGATTTGCTATGTCAAACTCTGAACCTTGAGATGGATCCCAGAAATTTCACCTGTGGGGATGGTAGTTCAAAAGGCAAGCCAACACTTGGACATCATCCAACCAAAAAACACCTCACCCCCGGACGGTCATCGTTCGCTTCTCGAGTGCTCCGCAGGTTAGCACACTCCGGTCGGTCGTGCGAGGCCTTGGCCTCCTGCACGGAGCAGCTCGTGGGCTCCACGAGCTTCTCGGTGCAGGCGCACCTGGCGGTGTCCTGGCTGAGGCGGGTGCGACACTGTCAGACGTCCCGAAAGGAGACGGAAAAAGCTGGTAGATTCTGGAGGAGAACCGCATCGGTCGCAAGCTTTGAGAGATTCCAAGAGCACTCCCGGCAGTTTTCGGATGCAGGTTGAAGCCTCCAGCCAGTGCAAAGGGAGCCAGCTCCTCAAGTCAAGTTTTCTCAAATCCTCCAGGGTGCTTTGATATTTGCTTCGATTCACAAACATTGACCAAACATTACCCTTGTCAGCAAGTGCTTCGATTTCCAAGGTACATTTGGATGTACTGGAAACATGTTGCAAGATGCTAGCAACCCATGCTAAGTCGCCGGTGGGCCAAGGATTCTCTGCTTGAGAAGCGAAACATCCCCAGACAATTATATGAATATATATATATATAGAGAGGCTTATATATAGTTATATGCAGCAAACATGCCAAATATGAGCCAATAATACGCATGTGGTTTTTTTGCTGGACCTGGGCCGTGACGCCGTGAAGACAAAAACCATCCAACACGGGCCGTGACGTCTCTCGAGGCACTATCCGGCACATCCGCTGCCACGGGAAGGCCTGGACTGAGATCAACGAGTTTTGTTGAGGTGTCATGAAGTTATCGTAGCCGCATGATTGATGGGAGCACTCTCTTGGATTTCAATTTGGAACCCCTCTTCACCCGGAGTATACGTATGCAGCCGTATGCATATTTCTTGAATTTGGCAAATTATTGCGATAGATGCGGGATCAAAATCGAAGGGAATGTGAGTTGACCCCATTTGTTCTGAAGGGAATCGCTCTGAAGCGGTGTGGTTTCTTCGTCGTTGGCTCTTCGCGGGGTTGAGTCGAGTCACGAAGGGCTGGCTCCAGCGATTGCAGACCTACTGGCGCGAGAGGTGGGTGATGTGGGTGATGAAGTGGAGAAGTGGAGTGAAAAGACACGTGGTGTTTCTGAAGCCCACTTGTTCATGTCCAACCCATAACCCGTGAATTGTCATTGTGAATTCGTAGGTGTTCATTCACCCAACCCCCCCTCCGTGAGAAATTGATATTGATTCGGTGTGGTGCAGGAACTGAGGGATAGTAATTATCTTCTTGGTCATTCAATGTTCTTCTTATCCTTTTCTCTTGGAAGGCGGAGAAAAATGTGCTGGGCTGAAGTTCACAGAGAGATCAATGAACACATGACATGTTTGTATCCTTCCCAGCTTTTTGAAGAGCATTTAGACACGTTAATTGTTTCTGTTGCAATGGGGTTGCAATTAATTTTTGCAACATGTCATTGTGCAACAAGTTCGCCACTGGGGCTAGAAGAACTTCAGCGCAGCATGAGGCTCCACCTCTGACTCCGCCAGTGTTGCAGAACATTACAAAGGGCCTGGCCTGATGCTCAAGAGAGATGTCATGATTTCACATGGCAAGATGGCCAGACTGTTATATTTGGTCCATCATGAATCCGACTCAGTGTTGTGCCATATGAAAGCTGCACAAGGAATCACCAGTGAAAACACCGTATTGCATAAGCTTGGGTGAGTACCATCGCAAGCTAGCCTGAGTATTTATCCGACTTGCAGTGGATGCTGGGCTGCACTCGACTCAGGTGCAAATTAGCTGGGGCCTACAGCGCTACCAGTTGGGTCACAACCCATCCAGGAGCACTCAAGAATCTGAAGGCCAGTTTGTGGATACTACAGTATACGTACATTAAATAAGCCTTATTACATTTTATTACTGCCTACCACTGTAAACCGGTGGTCCGACAGCCTCCGCCTCCTTCTCTTATATAAACCCATTCGGTTTGAGCTACCGAAAGGAGCCTCAGCATCGATGATTGGGCTGAGATCGTGGATTCCTTGATGACCTTTTGCGAGGGTCATCTCCCCAAAAACCGCAGCACGGCACCTTTATGGGCGAGAGAGGCCTTGTATCATGTGCCTCTTGGCGGATGATGTGTTTGAACGGGAAGAGATTGAAACGTTACTTATTTCGTCTATTTACGTTAGCTTTCGGGCCCATGAAAGGGTTGTGAAAGTGTGCTCAAAGCTATAGAGAAGGATGTGTTGGAAAAACATCGTGCACATCAAAATATGCAAAAAAAGCCATCGTTCACATCAACAATTTGTTCGGAGATGCCTGGCAGTTCTGACGCAAAGACGAACACCTCACTCGAGGTTGTGGAGAGCACAACAGCGCAAGCGACGGAGCGACGAGGCCCCGGAGCACCGGACGCAGCTGTCCTCGTTGCGGATCCTCTTGCGGCTCCTGAAGCGGCACAAGCCATCGCCGGTGGCTGACCCGGAGTTCTTCCAATGGGCATCTCGTCTGGTGGTTTTGCATCAGAAAGATCCCAAGAGCAGCACTGATGCTGTGGAGCTGATGACCTTAGTCAGTGACTTGGTGCCCTTTTTACCAGAGGACCAGCGCTCCGCCTTGGCGCGTTTGGTGATGACCCGCACCGAGTCCCCTGAGATCGCCACGGCCACGGCACGCACCGCGAGCGCAAGCATCGCTCGGCGTCTGTTGGACGTCGAAGCCGAGTCCGACAACGGTCGCGCTGTGGCGGTCGCCGGTCGTGTGGCGTGGTCGTCGACGAAGACGCGGACGACGGTCGCGCTGGACGCGAAGAAGACGCGCCTGTGGAATCTTCTGGCTACGTCCCCGGAGACGGTTTTGACAGTCCAAGAGCCCAAAGAAGAGCTGGTGGCTGAGTCTGCAACGCTTCAAGCGAAAGCGGAGGAGGGACAAGTGGGATGGGGCTGGACGTGGTTTGGTGTTTGTTACTTGATATGGATCAAGCAAGGGGTTGCCCCCTGAACATCTAGGAAGGAACACATCGGAGGACCAGATTTGGTGTTGAGACTGGCCTTGTTTTGCAATTGCAAGTTGGTGCAGTTGACAGGAACAACAGCCGGAGATAGTTGCCGCAGAGCGAGCTGCTCAAGTGGAGGACTGCTATCTTGTCTTTTGCAGGTTTCGCGGGATGTGGAGCATAGAGAGGACCACGGAGGACCTGCTATCGACATGAAGCACCGACGAAACTCGGGTCTGCTAAACGTAACTAGACTGCCATTATATGGATCCATATGAGAGTTTAGATTCTGCACATGAATTGAAGCATCACTTTTGGCTGGCTGCTCTCACTGCTGTCCTTTCTTCAAATCCTTCGCCGCTTCGCATGGATCGTCTGAGACCGGCGCGGTGAGACGGCAGGAAGGCTCGGCCCGAGCTCCACCATCGGCGACTGTGGAGGACGGTGGGCCTGGCTGCAACTAATCCAGCCAAACAGGTTTTAAGATATAAGTGAAATAGGGGGACGCCTTTTTCAGACTAAGATGTGTATTCCAAGGAGCGTTCTCCCAAAATACAAACATTTGTGTCATATGGGAATATAACTATTCCAGTTCATGAAGACCTAGTTCCACTTGCTAGGAGCTGCAACAGATGCTGCAGGGTGCCTTGCAGCGGGTGGAGGTCTTGCGCTTGTGCGGTCCATGAATCTTGATGCGAGCATCAAACCACACTGAAAGAGAAAAGACTTCTTCGTCGAGGCCTTAGAAAGCCGGCTTCAGGATCAAGAACGTGATGTTGTTGGATTCTCAGTAAGAATCACAGGAAGAACAATGCATAACAATGCCAGAAGATCACGTTTTGAACCATCCTAATACGAGCGAAACGCTGGAGTTTGACTCAGAATCAGTCGTTGTAAGCTACATGAAGATGGAGTGAGATGAAAGCACCAAGTTCCAAGCATCAAGTCGACTAGAGCCCACCTGACAGCGAAGCAAACAGTCACACTCGTTCGGCATTCAGCATTCGACTTCCAGGCGAACAAGCATCAGTGGGGGACCGAAGAAGTGAACCGCAGCCGTGTAGCAAGGCATGTTTCTTTGTGCTCTATTGGCCCATCCAAAGCATCGATGTTGGACTGGACAACCAAGAATGGCGAGCAAACATGTGAGCAAACACGTGACCCAACACCGACTATAGAAGATGAGCTCACGTCCCCCCCTTCCCCTGTCGAGGCTCGTGCTCAGACTGAGACTCCACGACACTCGGCGTCGTGACCTGCTCGTCACTCATCCGAGGCTCGACGATGCCTGCGACAAGAGCTCGGATGAAAGCGCGGCCGCCGAGAGGGGGGGTGGAGAAGAACAATGCAAAACACTAGTATAAAGAGATGAAAGAAGGATGTTTGGGTATAGAACGCCCCCTGTCAAAAAAGGGCACTATATTTACTTATTATCATATATTATCATACAATACTATGCCGAAACACTATACCGCTTTTGTTTTTGTTGTATGCTGGGCTCGTCCCCTAGTGAGTTGATACGTCCCGAGTCCCGAGAAGCAGGGTCAACGGCTGTGACCTGCCCCGCATGCGAGCGGACCTGAAACGGGTAGAGAATGAAAAGTCGAAAGATTAAAGCAATTGCCCAACAGCCCTGTGCTCGCGCCTCTTCTATGCCTTTGGCCAAGGTGGTGGGTGGTTGACAAGCATACTGACAGGCCCACAAGAGAGGGAGAGAAAAAGAAGATAGACAGACGCGAGTATATCGTCGTTACATGTTGCACACGTTGACGTGTCGCATTCTGGGATCAACTGCAGACTTCCCTCTTCAGCCATCTTCCGTGTCTCCGGCCGCCAGCCCCGGTGGAGCAAATCCAGCCCTCGGCAGCGGCCATGACATTGCATTTGCCGGGAGTCTGAGGGCACTGCTGGGTGGAGAGGTAATTAGCCATTACAACAACACGTTCTTATGTAAATTAAATATACAGGCCCTTAAAGGTCTTGCTGCTACTAAGAGTCTGGGCATGTTTGTACTATCTGTATAAGTAATTATGAACTTGTAATGATTCTGAGCTTCTGTTTTGGGTTTGACTCTCCTCCCTATTAATTAAAGTACCATATTAGCAGGCCTGCTAGTTCGTCGAACGCAGCAGGGAACTCCTTCTTTTTCAGGCTCAAGACACTCCCGTCAAGATCCATCGTCTCGAAGCTCCCTCCTTCCGTTCGCGACGAGGTTTCAAAACCGTTCCCTCCGAACCGACACCGTTCGCGACGCGACGCGGTGAAGAGGGTCTGACGGAGACGGCGCTTCGCTTCGAAGACCTCAGGCGGCGGTCCTTCAGCTTCGAAGACTTCCGGCGCTCGCAGTCGGCCAGGTGCAGCAGTGCCGCCGTGCTGCCATGTCTGGGGTCGAGACAGAATGGTCATCGATGATGCAGGTTTTGGATGGTTTTGGTGTTGGGGGATGTGAAGGGTCTCAAAAAGTCAGTGAGGGAAGCGCAGCGCCCGCTGCGCGTTTTCTTGGTGTTCAGAATTGTTCGAACAAGTTGTGTGATGTATCATGGAGATAAAAAGCTGAACGGCAGCTTCTTTTTGCAGGGTCATACACCCCGGGTATGTTTGGCGGACACACTTCAAGTGAGCAGCTTCAAAAACCTCTATGATGAAAAGTGTGCAAACTGTAATCTCACATTCCTTCGCGAAAGCCAAAACGCAGGTCGCGAAAGGTTCGCGAAAGCCCCGCGAAAGAAACCCAGAAGAACAGCGTCGCGAAAGCTTTCGTGAAAGTCGAATTTCTTGTGCATGTCGTGTTGTTTATGTGGGTGACCATATTTTTATGCAGGCAGCCGCAGCCAGCCAGCCAGCCAGCCAGCCAGCCAGCAGCACTGAAGAGCAAGTGTTTCAGCGGAAAGTCGAAAAGCCCAGACGAATTTCCGCGAAAGCCGCGCGAAAGCCTCGCGAAAGAACCGCGAAAGTCGAAAATATCAGGGAAAGGTATCTGGCCCAAGCAAAAAGTTTCAGCAAGTTTTCCTCCTCTTCTGATGACAACAATAATACTTGAACGGTGCTGCTACAACTCCTTGTGCCAGGATGTTGCCGGAAAGAAATTTGTTCAGTTTTGACCACCCTAAGGACACTCATATCGGATAACTTATATGTAGATCAATCACTTTATTGTACAATATCCCAATCGAATTTCCCAATCGAAAACGAATCGCCGCGAAAGCCGCCGCGAAAGCCCCACATAACACCACACCTTCCGCGAAAGCCAGAATGCAGGCCGCGAAAGCTCCGCGAAAACTTTGCGAAAGCAAACCTGGATTATACAAAAAAGTAATGGGGGTTTTCGAAGCTGCTAAGTGAAGATTTGTGTTTTTCTGCGACTATTGACTGGCGCAGGCTTCAGTCAGAACGCCTGCGGGTTGCAGTACCTCCTGACCACTTCCCACTGACACACCCTTAGCGCTTCATGCTTTCAGACCAGGGACCATATTGACCAGGGACCGTGCTTTGGGGGAATGAAGCTCAGGTGGCCTATCACGATGAAAAAATGATATTGTCCCATATGTGTGAAGCTTAGCTTGATCTCAGCATGCACATGCGTGTTCATGCTGATTCCCTCATCCAGCCTCGGCATCCAACTCAAGACATGCCATGCTTTGTTACTCTGTTGTACAATGCATAAACTTCGAAGCTGTCCAAGACTATTAAAAGGACCAAAGCTAGAGCTCGCTGAGGCGCTTTAGTCTCTGTGTAGTTGAAAACTTGCAGAGCAGAGTGAGTCCTTAGCCATAGCATTCCGTAGCCATGTAGTAGCCATGTCAGACAGGCCATTCCTTTGTGGGCAGACATGTCGGACGTATTGGTGTATTGTAAACATATGTAAACATATCATGACATATCAATATCCTTGAATTATCTTGATCATATCCACATTATATCTATTCTGAATATATCCAGAAAGAATATGAATTTAATGTTTATCTTCCAGGGTTCTTCCTGGGGAACTCTGAAAAGCAGAAATGCAGCTCCATCGAGCTGGAAGAATGGGAGTTTGTTGTTGGAGAAGTGACAGACAGATGGAGAAGTGTTCCTCAAGCCATGCTCCCTTTTATGTTCAGATATGCCATGTCGGTAAAAGAACGTCCACGTTTTTAAACGAAACCGATCAACGTGCGTCCTTTCGGGCAGGAAAAAGGATCAACTCGTGTGTCTCAGACGGACGTCCTTGTATCCCACTGAGTTGACGAAGAGTCACAGTGATCGATAGCGCACACAGGCAATGTAATCCATGGAAAGCAGGAGGTTCCAAGCTGCCTGGCCTTGCGCAGATATCGGCTTACAGCACTGTAGATCCTTTTGGGAGACGAATCCCAGGGAGGCCAGCCAAAGCTCCAGCTCCACCCAGAAGAACGCGAGTCTCCCCAAGCGGAGCTGGCCTCCCAAAGGATTCGGCACACCACCGTTGCAGGGCCGCAAAGCGGCGTTGGACGCCCGTTTTTTGAGTTTGCTCAGAACTGTTTTGCTCATGGGGAACAAATCAAGCAAGAAAGGTGGCGGACTCAGTGAGGGGATCGGAAGCACAGCAAAAAAGAAGATCAGTTGAATGTATTTGTTTGTTTTGCTCCACACTGGAAGTTGTTTTTCATGTTCAGAGTTGGCGATCAGCCGAGTTTCCTCTAGTGTGTTGGTGTATTTTCTTTGCTGACACAAGGAGGAGAAATTGCACAGGGGGCCTACAAACTGTCCGTTCAGGGCCTCAGATTCTTGTGTTGTGAGAGTTAAAGAATCTTTCACCCGCTTTGTTGTCACCATGTAGAAACTAACTGCCTTTTGTACACTTCAGGAGCACATGGGCCCAATTGTTGTTTCGGGCAGGCCGGCGGGCGGGCCGGTGGTGACCTCGCTGACCGACCACGGTGACCTCGACCGATTCCGCCAGGTATCATAAGCTTCCTCGACGAATCGAAGACGATTACAAGGCTGCCAGAATCCACCCGAGGAACCAAAAATCAACGAATGCAGATTGATTTGATTGATTGGTCGCAGACCCACGACGTGGTCCTTGGGAGTGGCTACAATGGAGTTCTGGCCTTATGTCCACCAGACCAGATGAACTTCAGATCCTTTAATATCAAAACGAAGTTGGCAGACCTTTCTCCCCACGTTTAGACTATACAATGGTCCTGACCATCCTGGTCCGGCTGCGAAGCCGGCTGTCTCACTGTCCAAGGTTGTACAGTTGGCCACTTCCTTGGATGACGAAAGCTACAGATTCGCCGTCAAGGCGCGTGCGCGCCGTCAAGGCGCTACGATCCGTCGGCCGGGTCTTCGGATCGAAGCCTCGTGGCCGGACGCGCCAGGCATTCAAGGTCGGCAACCTGAAGCGCGACAAGAAGGCGTTGACGCCTGCCGCGCGAGAGCGGTCGCGGTCGCCTCGCAGCTACGAGCCGAAAGAACATAGAAACAATTAAAATTGGAAGAGCAATTCAGATATTAAACCATAGAAATAGAACTGACTACTATAAAGAAAATGACACATAACACATAACGCAACATCATTCGACAGAATGACTTATTACATATTCTTTTGTTTTGCGCCCTCGAACCATGGCGTTGGTGTTGTCCACGTCCAACTACACGTCCAAGTGTGAACGGGACAAGAAGTCGCCAGGGCACTGGCAATTCTGCAACGGTTCTCATGTTGAGTGTTGCCCTAGCCGCTTTCAATATTGCTACCAGTACTGTCGGCATCATCCATGAGATCATTTAGAGTTTCACATCCGTTGTCAGTTCGGCATGCAAGGAAGTTTGCATGATACGCTTTTCTCCAGTACATACTTCATTCTATCTAAATACTGTGACCCAGAGCTCCAGATTGTTCTGAATCGAATGTGAAGGCACAACTGGAAAGTGAAGTGGGCATTTACCTTTGCATGGCTTGGGCCTTACTGTCGAACACAGCAGGGCTTTGCACAACCGTGAGGACCGGGCGCGAGACGGTGACGCCACCGTCTCGCGCCGAGACGACCGCGACGACCGTACCGTACCGTACCGACCGAGGACCACCCCCACGTCACGAGACTGTTTGATGTCTACGAAGCTGATGACAAGCTGTACCTGGTCATGGAGTGCATGGAGGTCGGCAGAGCGAAGTAGACAAGACACTGGAGACCAGTGGGAAACACGGGCAGTGGTAGACGTGTCGACGTGTGGCCTACGACTGGCAATGGTAGACGCGTCCCACTGGGTTTCAGTCGGTTTGTTTGTCTTGAAAACTTTGGACGTCTAGACACCAGTGTACTTTGCTTTCACGGAGTTTGAATGATGCGATGCTATGCAGGAACTGCATGGGGCTTTGCTGTTGATAGCTTCTGCGTTCTTTTGTGATTCAACAGGGGGCTTTAAAAGGTGGTGCGGCCGCACGTGCGGCCGCACGTTACTCACCACTCCACGCGAGTAGGCCAATAGATGCCACTAGCAGGAAGGCCAGGCAGATCCGGACAACCTGTTAAGGTTTGTTAAGGTTTGTTAAGATCATACTAAGTAGTCATACAGGAGGACTGTTTTTTGTTTGTATACTGTATATCATGATTATCAGATGTAGTCACTGCCACAGGCAGCAGCCTGTCGCAAGCTCCAACAGCACACTGGCCTTCAAAAGGCTACCAGAAACATTCAGGAAAACTCCGTGCTTAACTGGACAAGCTTGGACCAGCGGCTCCAAGGTCACACTCGAGACCAACGAATACAGGTCAACACCGCAAACCAAACGAAAATCTATGTCAAACCAGGAACTTTCAAACCAGTCTTGCTAGTCTAAGCAAGGACTTTTCACCTTTCTTCGCCTAAGCGAACCCTCCGTCCTCAGGGCGGGGAGCTCTTTGATCGAGTCACGAAGCTGAAGAAGTTCACGGAGCTCGATGCCCCTTGGGCCGAGGAACGCCGGGTAACGGCGGTCCGAGTTCTCGGCGGTCCGTCGGACATCGACTGATTGGACGAGTCTCGGGGAGGTCAACCATGGTCAACCAGGCTGAAACCTACAGTACCAGGCTGAAACCGGCTCTTGGGTTTGGACCCGGATCACTTTGCATCACGTTCGAGAAAAGTACCGTCACTTGGTCTCTTTTGGACGACAGAAGTCGGAAAGATGTCTGCATATGTTGTTTGAAGGGAACCTTTGTTTCGGAGCCGTTGGTTGTTTGGTCGACTCTGCGAACCCAAAAGCAGTTCGGAGCCGTTGGTTTCGGGTTTCGGGTGTGCTGTGCGAGCACGAAACTCGTCCGTGGTCGTGGTCGTGGAGTTTTTCGATGCTTTGTGCCGGCGAAGCCTTCGTCTTAAAGCCTTCACGCCAGTCGTAAGGGGGTCCTTTGGGGGAACCTCAGCCTTGCAGCTGCAAGAGGTTAGTTAGTTAGCTAGTTAGTTAGTTATAGTCAGTTAGTTGGTTACTTGGTTAGTTAGCCTCTCTCGGTACTCAATTTGAAGTCTCGCCACTTCTGACAGCGTAACGCTGCACCCACCTCGATGAATGCAGGTCACAGTTGATTCATCCAGTGTTTCTAACTGGATTCCTTTGGATCAAGCCATGTTGAAGAGGATCACCACAGTTTTTTTTCTTTTAGTGGTTGCTTATGGTTGCTTCATGTTTGTTTGAGTACGTTCCCAGCATGTTCAGTGGCAAAAGGCATCGACGTCGACGTACGTAAGTAGTCCGTCGCTCTAGTCGTCTGATGATCGGACCGAGGCTGCAAACGCGGTGGAGCAAATGCTTTTGGCTTTGAATTACATCCACAGTCATGGTGCTGTGCCAAGTGGGACCTGAAGCGAGAGACACGATGGCTTCGTGTGTGCATGTATGCCTTGTCCAGAATACTACAGGTCACATGAGAAGAGCTTCTATAGCATTATGAGATGGTGTATCGGTGTGTGTGAAAAAGAAAGGCAGGCAAAACTGGCGGAAGGCACCCCTTCGGCACCGAAGGCTGAAAGCTAAACTCCCGTTAACTCCGTGCACCGAGTTGATTCCACACATCGAAAGGGCATGGTTTGTTCAGCAATTAGGAGCAAGGACGCTACTAGGGGCTCCTGGCCTTACTACTAGGAGCATTCTTACGACTAATTCCTGACTTTTCTCAAGTTGAGCAAGAAAGTCATTCCATGCCTGGAATAAAGACCAGTGTTTTTTTCTGGATGACGCGTGAGTTTTTCCTGGTATTTCGGGTGCAAAGAGTGCGATTTGCGTGCGTGCGTATAGATCATTGAGTGAAGGCATCAGCGTGCGGGTGCAGGAGTACGGATGTGGATCATGTTTCGATGCCTTGACATGCCCTTGACCAAGGCATTGTTCATCGCGATCTGAAGCTGGAGAATTTCCTGTGAGCCGAATTGGAAGGGGTTTCAGGGAACCATATAATGGAACCCCAGCGTTTCCTGAAAACCCAACTCCGCTTACATTCGCTTTCATTATACAGAGAGAAGTTCCCTTCGCGTGTTTGTAGCAGATGCAGGTACGAAGCCAAAGATAGCGACCAGTTGAAGTTGATCGATTTCGGCT